GGACGTAACAAAAATTGTGATAGCTTGATATTTTCTGGAGAGGCAAACAGCTCCACCTCTGGGAGAAAGGACCATGCAACTAAGCTCCAAAAGACTTGCAGCAACAGAGCCCACTCGACCGGGCACACAGACTGCTGTTAGCAGCTGTAAGTTGGATTGAGTACATTCCATAATTGGAGTAACCTCCCTCAGGAGAGGAACACTGCAGGTGCCTCCCTGCCTGTGAATGTAGGCCACTGCTGTTGTATTGTACAGTTTCATCAGAACAGGTGCACCTTGAATCAGACTTCTGAAAGCTAGGAGACCCTGGAAGACTGCTCTCAATTCCAGAATGTTGGAAACTAGATTTACAGCATGGAATGTCCATTGGCCTTGAGCCCAGTGGTTCTCACATAGGGCTCCCCAGCCTATCTCACTGGCATCCTATTGGATTGTTCGTCACTGTATCATGAGCAAGAAGTAGCGCACAAGAAGATTATGCTCTAACGACCACGAGTCCAAACTCAACTTCATCTGGGGTGTGATCCAAATTTTCTGTTCAAAAATCATCTAACCTTCATTGCTCCAGGAGACCAATTTGAAAGAGCGTGAGTTTCCATTACATCCTTTTGACCATTGGGATAATCAAAGTCAGCATACTGAAAAGTCGCATGCACTCTGTTGCTGGCAGGTACAATTTCTTTTGAGCTGCCAACATTGTATTCAGGGCATCTTGTCTTCCGGTAATGTCACTGACACCACTCAAGTATCTAGTTTTGCATCTAGGTACAGCAGAGACCGAGTCTGCACAAGGTGACTTTTCTCCCGATTGATCAGCCATCCAAAGTTCTCCAGTGTCTGCATGGTTATCTTCCGGTGTTCCAGGAGCATATTCTTGTCTTGATTTAGGAGCAGAATGTTGTCTAAATAATGATAAATTCGGATGTCCTGCAACCTCAGGTATGCCACCAGAATCTTCATGAACACACTGGAAGATGTGGTCAGCCCAAAGGGACATACAAACTGGTAGTGGAGCTGTCCCACTGAACCCTCAGACAGACCGGGGCTACCGACACGTGGAAATACGCATCCTTAAGATCCACTTACAGAAGCCGATCTCCCAGCTGTATGATCTTCAGGATTGTTTGCAGTGATTCCCTCTTGAATTGATCCTTCCTGATGAACCTTTTGAGGTCCCTGAGGTCTATCACCAGCCCCCAAGCTCCTGACTTTTTCTGTACCAAAAACAGAGATGAGTAGATTCCACAAAAAAACATTCTTGTTTGGGAACAGTGACTACCACCCCGATTCAGGAGAGTTTCTATGTACGCCCACAGGACACCTTGTTTTTCCTTCGACATCTTCGTTGGGACAAATATTCTGTGGGGATGCTTGAGGAACTTCCAGCTGTGACCTGATGGTATATATCACTCAAAGTTCCTTTGTACTTTGTGCTCACACTTGATGGAACTTGAATAACTTGGCCCCTAAACGACAAGTGTGAGCTGGTGGATAGTCAAAAGGATTTCTGGGACTCCTGTCCCAGGGAAGAAGCTGGTCTCTTCCATTTGGGGTTTGCAGTGGAGTTTGGCCATTGCTGATAAAATTCCCTTCCTGGCCTGTAAGACTTAGCTTCTCTGCCTCTGGTCCTTGGTGAATGTCTGTAAGCTGCACCTCTCCTGCGAAGCAACCTTTGATCTTGGGGGATTAACCACTAGCCTACAGGGCACTTATACCCCCTTCCGGCCCAGGCCAATTTCCAGCTTTCAGCGCTGTCACACTTTGAATGACAATTGCCCGGTCATGAAACACTGTACCCATATGAAATTTTTATCTCTGATGGGCATTGACAGGCATTACTGATGGGCACTGAAAGGCAGCACTCATATATGGCACTGATAGGCAGCACTGACGGGCACTGATGCACACTGATAGGCGTCACTGATTGGCATTGATAGGTGGCACTGACTGGCACTGAAAGGCAGCTCCGATGGGCACTGATATGTGGCATTGATGTGCACTGGTAGGCACTGATATGTGGCACTGATGGGCACTGGCAGTCGGCATGGATGGGCACTGAAAGGCAGCACTCATATATGGCACTGATAGGCAGCACTGACGGGCACTGATGCACACTGATAGGCGTCACTGATTGGCATTGATAGGTGGCACTGACTGGCACTGAAAGGCAGCTCCGATGGGCACTGATATGTGGCATTGATGTGCACTGGTAGGCACTGATATGTGGCACTGATGGGCACTGGCAGTCGGCATGGATGGGCACTGGCAGGTGGCACTGCTGGAGCTACACAGATCATCAGGGCACACTGATCATCAGTGCCAGTGACACTAATACAACGATCAGTACTACAAATATATACTTTCACGGTTTTTAAAAGACACTGGCTGGGAAGGGGTTAACACCTAGGGCAGGGGTGGGAAAACTGCGGCTCTCCAGCTGCTGTGGAACTACATTTCCCATGAGGCATTGCAATGTTACAAAACTGTCAGTTACAGCTATGACTTGCAGAGGCATGATGGAACTTGTAGTCCTGCAACAGCTGGAGAGCCGCAGGTTGCCTACCCCTGACCTAGGGAGATCAATGGGTTACCTGTTTGCCTACCAAGTGTTAATGTGTTTACTGTGTGCTTTTTTTTTTTTTTTTTTTTATTACCATAAATTGATTTATTTCATTTTCCTGTTTAGCAGGGAAAAGAAATACAGTGATCTGTTCTTCTGCATAGAGCCCTGTATTGTTTACCAACACAGAGCTCTAAGCTGTGATTTGATACAGCCGATCAGCAAGTCCCACCCATTGGCCCAGGATGTGCTGACAGACTCCTGCAGTGTCAAATCACAGTGGGAGTAGGCAGGTGGGCCTCAAACCTGAAAACAGGCAGTGACATACCAGTACATCTCTGTGCCTGTTGCTGCCACAGTAAATGTAAGTGGTCAAAAACCAGCAATGCTGTTTCACCCTGTTCTGCACATGCTCAGTTGCGCTCAATTCTCAGCACTGTTTCTAAAATCAGAGCCACTAGAGGCCAATCTAATGACAGCTTTAAGATTTTCTGTTGAAGGGGGAAAAAGCAACAGGAATGACACAGACTGTGCTGATGAAACACGGAATATTATGGGAGAAGAGTAAAGCAGGAGAGGTGACAAACTGTTTTCATCCTCTTGGCAGCGATCCTTGGCACTGTTCGCCTCCCAGCCCTTCAAGGGTTCTAAAAGCCAGGAGGCTGAGGCTAGCCTTTGGGTCATGTGACTGCTGTGATCAGCTGTCACAGAAAGCTTTTAAAGTTCAAAAGATCACAAGTATACATCTGGAGCTTACTAATCCCCCCAGGTTGCGCTCCCAGCACAGTGTTGTAATAGAGCCACATATATGCAGCCACTCGACATTAAACCCCACACTCGCCGAGCAGCCACACATATGCGTATGGCCAGCGCCAAGAAGTTAAGGAAACAAAGAGTTAAGAGGATATCATCTTAACTTATCTCCATGATTCTCCCTCCTTTATAGGCAGCCTGTGAACTTTAGCATTGTAAAGCTTCTGTCAGCCTTCCTCTCTAGCCAAGCCAGGACATACAGTCAAGGCTGGAAATGTAAAAATTTTAATTACAGTAGGTGTAATTATTGAGACTGAGGCAGGCCATACATAATTCACTTTCTTTCTTTCATTCAACCAGCAAGTGAAACACATTTAAGGTGGATAGGGGCATCCCTCACGCAGAGTCCTGCTGAACTGGCTGAATTTCAGTCCATCTATGGTTGGCTTAAGGAGAGGGGGAGAGCATTTAATAAGGAAGTGACTGCTCTGGACTCCAACAAAATGGTGGCCTCCAGCAAGAAGAAGCAAGGGTAATGCTGGAGGCAATTTACAGCACACACTAATTTTGATAGCATAATTATAAATGTAGAATGTATATATTTTTTTTTTAATGAAAATGAATTATCGTACTAAAGTTCCATTATTATAACAATAATAAACATAATTAATTTACTGTCTGTGTGTTGCCAACCATTGTTTGTGTTTATTAACCACTTCCCGACCGGCCCGCTGTATATAAACGGCCGGAGTGTGGCACTGCAGGGTCGGGTGGACGTTTATAGATGGCCTCCCCGCACCCTGCTTGTGCGCGCTCCCCAGGAGCGCCCAGCGATCCGGTGCCCGCTGTGTCCTCCAGACACAGTGAAACAACAATCGTCGGATGGACCTCTGTACGAGGTCCCGATCATGTGATCACTGATTGGCCAATCAGTGATCACATGCAAAGTAGTAAGCAAGATGTCTCTAATTTTTGGTTATAAACTAATTTGGCTTATTTTTTTATTTTTTTTTACTAAAAAGATAACGGAATAAATTTTGGCCAAGATTTATGATGAAATATTATTTATTTGCAAAATTTTATAAGAAAGGAAAGGCACTTTTTTTTTAAATTTTGGACATTTTCATTTATATAGCAAAAAAATTAAAATCCCAGTGGTGAATAAATACCACCAAAATAAAGTTTTATCTGTCTCAAAAAAAATGCTAAAAAATTCATATGGGTACAGTGTTGTATGACCGCGCAATTGTCATTCAAAGTGTGATAGCACTGAAAGCTGAAAAATTGCCCTGGTCAGGAAGGGAGTAAAAGTGTCCTGACTGGAAGTGGTTAACTAGAAAGAATCCAGACTAAAAAGACTGAATGAAATAAATGACGATAACACTGAGTAATGCCGTTTCTGTTTAATAAATACAGCGGTCAATACAATTTACTTTGATGTAAATATCTATACATATTAAAAAAAAGATGCATCACATTAACCAGGAATCTTGGGTAATGAAAGATAAAAAAATAAACATGAAGAGAAATAAAAAGAACAAAAAACCTACTAGCCATGACCTTAAGACATTAAAGAGTAATGTATAATATAGTCTGGAGTTGCATTGCGTTGAACGCCTGCACACCAGAAAGTGTCTGTATAGTGCGCAACCACTTATTAAGTATTCTAGGCGGAGTGTTCAAGTTTTTACATAGTCATGTGCTCAGGCAGCACATAGGAGATATCATCCCAAGGATGTCGGTACAATCCTTGCTTCAGCCTCTTTTGGTCCAAATAATGTCCTGTAAATGAAAATCCATTATTATAGAATTCACAAAGCCATGAAAAGTCATAGATTTTAAATATACAACAGAACTGGATTTAAAGGCCATGCCCTTTGGTGTCTGCTCCTTTTACACTCACCGGCTACTTTATTAGGTACACCTGTTCAATTGCTTGGTAACACAAATTGCTAATCAGCCAATCACATGGCAGCAAGTCAATGTATTTAGGCATCTAGATGTGGTGAAGACGACTTGCTAAAGTTCAAACTGAGCATCAGAATGGATAAGAAAGGGGATTTAAGTGACTTTGAACGGGACATGGTTGTTGGTGCAAGACGGCTGGTCTCAGTATTCCAAAAACTGCTGATCTATTGGGATTTGCACGCACAACCATCTGTAGAATGGTCTGAAAAAGATTTCCAGTGAGCAGCAGTTGTGTGGAAGAAAATGCCTTGTTGATGTCAGAGATCAGAGGAGAATGGGCAGACTGGTCCGAGATAATAGAAAGGCGACAGTAGCTCATGTCAATATAAACCAAAAGGGAGGAATGTTTCCAACACCTTTTATACCATGAAGAAATAGGGCAGTTCTGTAGTTAAAAGGGGGTCCAACCCGGTACTAGCAAGGTGGACCTAATAAAGTGGCCGGTGAGTGTATAATGTGCTTAGTAATTTTTAGTATACATTTTCTTTTTTTATAGTAAGGACTAAAAAACATGAAGTACATGGTTTAAATGTTTTATATTTATGGGAATCAAAATATATTTTGTTAGGTAAAAATGACATTTTGCATATGAATATTTTTGTATTTTCTAGAGGGTGATCTAGACTTCTTGAGAGCAAGAGAGAGGGAAAGAAAGGGGGTGGGGGAGAGAAAGAGAGGGAGGGGGAGAGAGGAAGGAGAGGAGAGAGAGAAGGGAGGGGGATAGAGGGAGGGGGGGATAGAGGGAGGGGAGAGGGGATAGAGGGAGGGGGGATAGAGGGAGGGGGGGGAGAGAGGGAGGGGGGGGAGAGAGGGAGGGGAGGGAGAGAGGGAGGGAGAGAGGGAGGGGGGGAGAGAGGGAGGGGGGAGAGAAGGAGAGGGAGGGGGGGGGGAGAGAGGGAGGGGAGGGGGGGGAGAGAGGGAGGGGGGGAGAGGGGGAGGGGGGGGGGAGGGGGAGAGAGGGAGGGAGGGGGGGGGAGAGAGGGAGGGGGGGGAGGGAGGGGAGGGGGAGGGGGAGGGGAGGGGGAGAGGGGGGGGGGGAGAGAGGGAGGGAGGGGAGGGGAGGGAGGGGAGGGGAGAGGGAGGGGGGGGGAGAGGAGGAGGGGGGGGAGAGGGAGGGGTGGAGGGGGGGGGGGGAGAGAGGAAGGGAAGGGGGGGGGGGAGAGGAAGGGAAGGGGAAGGGGAGGGGGGGGGAGAGAGGAAGGGGGGGGGGGGGGGGAGAGGGAGGGGGAGGGGGGGGGGCAGAGAGGGGAGGGGGGGGGGGGAGGGGAGGGGAGGGGGGGAGGGGGGAGAGGAAAGGGGGGGGGTGGAGAGAGGAAGGGAAGGGGAGGGGGAAGGGGAGGGAAGCAGAGGGAAAGGGGAGAGAGGGAAGGAGAGAGAAGGAGGAGAGAAGAGGGGAGAGGGGGGGAAAGAGGGGGGGAGGAAGGGGGAGGAGGGGGGGAGGAAAGAGGGGAGGAGGGGGGGAGGGGAGGGGAGGAGGGGGGGGGAGGGAGAGGGAGGAGGGGGGAGGGAGAGGGGGGGGGGGAGGGGGGGGAGAGGGGGGGAGGGAGAGCAGACAAAGGGGCAAAGAGAAAAGAGATGGAAAAGGGGTGTGATGTGAGAGAGAAAGAGAGAGACTGTCTAGCTGGTAGGTTACCTATATTTTATATGCTGACATGCGTGAAGATGAGGATGGATAGCCTCTCACTTACCAATAAATCCCATGCTCCTTCCAAGTACGAATATCCCATTCAGTGCTCCAATTTCTATGTATTCATCAGCTTCCTCTCTGATTATACAAAAAAATCAGTCTGTAATCATTAGCACTGATATATTGAGCACACACTGGATGACTCAAGTATCTATTTGCATTCAATCAGTCTATGACAACTTTCAGAAAACAATGCAGCTAGGTAACAGATATCCTGGCAGCCTGTGTGGTCACTGTGACTCTAGCACCTGGGTCCCGCTTTCAATTCTCATTACAGACCCTGTCTTACATTTGTATATTTCTGTTTAAAAATAATGACTGAATGTGCTTGGGTTTGATTTGCAGGCTGACTGGCGAATGCATTTTTAAAATCTGCAAATTACAAACTTTAATGAAGTTAATGTGAGGTGAATCTTGACAATCAATTCTGCCCATGTTTGAAGCAAACAGGCAAGGGGTCATCAAGCAAAGGGCATAGGGGACATGTACCAATGGAATACTATAGGAAGGAGGAAGGAGGGCTGTGTTCCTTGTAGAGGAGTGGTGTGATGTAACACCTGGTCATCCACCTGAGACTAAGTTCTGAGTGGTTGGATTTCAGCTCTACGTTTGGTTGAAATGTACTCACTTTTACAATAAAAACTTTTCACAGTCCAGGAATCCTGATAGATATAATGTATGATCGCATACTACTCAGGAATTGCGGGGCTTCAGGAACTGTGTAATAAACAGGGTGACCCCGTCATCCACAGTGGACATACCTAGGAAGGGTATTAATGTAAAATTCTCTGCTACCCCAAATAATCCAAATATTGAATAACCTTACTGTGTTTTAATGTTGCTGCAATGCACTGAATGTGACCCCACAAAACAAACCTGCAAACTAAAACCAAAGTGCTGCACTATATTAATATTACGTGACAGCTGAAATCATAACTTCTTAATAACAATGGTTTGATGAAAAGGGGGGTCTTCAGGGTCTGGATACCATAGAGATGGACCACTGCCCTGGAACTTGTATAACACCCAGCAGCTGACTACACACATTTATCATGGTCCAATGCAAGAGCCAACATAGGCCCCAGTGCTCAAAGCAACATTACAGGCTGGCCCCATGTCATGGGTCCCAAAAGTTTTATCAAGGCTGCACTGCTTCTATCATTGTATTACAAGACCATGAAGAGTTCATTGAAGAATCCAAAGAAAATAATGAATTAGTTAAGCTAAGCGTGATTTCTATGTGAGGAAGAAGAGATCCATCACCTTAGGCAAAACAAATAAAGATCCACAGAGTGGGACAGGAGGATACTCAGGGGGCATGTCCCCAAAGGTTTGACAGTGTCCAGTCACCTGAAGGTACCAGCCTATAATTCAGGGCCTATGAATATTCAGCCTGTGTCTGGAATGTACAATTAGGTTATTTATAAAAATAAAATACCATTCAGCAGGGGAAAGGATTTTAACAGCTTAAGGACCGGCCTATAGCAGAAATACTGCTACAGGGCAGCACCTGTGCGCAAAATTACGTATATATACATTATTTTGCATTTCCAGGTAGGGGGCGCATGCGCACACCCTACCTGCACCGCCATTCGCAGCTGTGGATGTCAATCACTGGGTCCCGGCCGGTAATTACCGACAATCACCGACAGGGTGTCCTGTCAGCTCAGGCACACTGCTCGGATTGGCTATGCACAGCACGGCCATCCCGAGCAGTGTGCTTACAGTAAAGCACTCATCCCCGCCCCCTAGTAAAACACTCCCTACATATAGGTAACCCTTTGATCGCCCCTCACATTAACCCCTTCCTGCCCAGTGCCATTAATACAGTGTAAGGGCTTTTTTTTTTTTTTTTTTTTTTTAGCACTGATCACTGTATTGGTGTCACTGGAGTGTCAGTGATACCAAGTTAGTTCCCCCCAGTGTCAGAATGTCCACCGCAGTCCTGCTAAAAGTCACTGATTACCGCCATTACTAGTAGAAAAAAAAAATCCTAGTATCTATACCGTCATTTGTAAACGCTATAACTTTCACGTAAACCAATTAATTTACATGTATTGGGATTTTTTTAAGCAAAGACATGTCGCAGAATACATTTTGGCCTAAATTTATGATGAAATTTGATTTTTAAAAATTTTTTTACTGGACATGTTTAATAGCAAAATGTCAAAAATATTTTTCTCAAAATTGGTTATAACCCGTCTGTCTTTTTTTTTTATTCTTTTTGCATGCTGTGTCCCATTGGTGAGATATCCCCTCAATTTCTGTCCCATAGCTAAAACAGGAAATTAGGAGGAAATCCCTCTAGAGTGAAGGAATTCCTGGTTGTCATCAGAGCTAGTGTCCCCATTTTAACATTTCCCCTTTATTCCTGTTTTGGGGACAACCCAAAGTTTGATATTTTCTTTTTCTTTCAGTAATAACAGTAAACAGGACAAATAGGGTGAATCTCCCTAACACGGGCACAGACAGCAATAAAACAGGTGTTCTAATCTCTAGTTATACTTTAACCACTTGCCTACTGGGCACTTATACCCCCTTCCTGTCCAGGCCAATTTTCAGCTTTCAGCGCTGTCGCACTTTGAATGACAATTGTGTGGTCATGCAACACTGTACCCATATAAAATTTGTAGAATTTTTTTTTCACACAAATAGAGTTTTTCTTTGGTGGTATTTAATTGCCGCTGGGTGTTTTTGAGCAAACAAATTTGAAAGAAAAAAGTTTTTCTTTGCTTCTATTAAAAAAAACTTCGCAAACAGGTAATTTTGCTCCTTCACTGATGTGCGTTGATGAGGCAGCACTGATGGGCACTGATAGGCATTGATGAGGTGCACAGATAGGAGTCATGATGAACTAGCACTGATGGGCGGCACTGCTAAGCACAGGTGGGTGGCACTAATGGGTACAGGTGGGCAGCACTAATGGGCACTTATCAGGGCACTGATCAGTTCTGAATACTTCTCTGACAATTTCCGGTTATAGGCAGTACTTCCCACAAGCTGTGACAACATAAGGAAAGTGCAGCCGATAACCGGCAACTCTATTTACCCAGTGATCTGCTGTGTCATTGAACACATATACCTTTAGTGATCTGCTGTGTCATTGAACACATATACCTTTAGTGATCTGCTGTGTCATTGAACACAGCTGATCACGTGGTAAAAGCCCGCCGTGATTGGCCGTTCACCGTATTATGTGATCAGCTGTGTCCATCCCAGAAACACACAACAGCACTGTAGTTGTCCTTCGGCTTTAGCGCAGTAGGGAATACAATAAAAAAAAAAATATTGTGTTTTTTTTCTCAAAATTGTCATTCTTGCTTATATTGCAAAAAATAAAAAAAACGCACAGGAGATCAAATACCACCGAAAGAAAGCTCAATTCATGGGAAAAAAAGGACATAAATTTCATTTGGGTGCAGCATTGCATGACCGCGCAATTGTCAATTACAGTAACTGACAGCAAAAAATAGCCTGGTCAGGAAGGGGGGGGGGGGGGAATCCTCTGGAGGGCAAGGGGTTAAATAAGGCTTAAAGTGGTTGTAAACCTCAGACAAGAAATATGAACAAAGTGTGTCACTCTTTAGTGTGTACTTGTCTCAATACAGAGCACTAAGCATGATTTCTCTCTGCTGCCTTGTTGCTCTGCTATCTGCATGTGTCTTTTTGAAGGGGGGGGGGGGGGGGAATACACTTTAATAAATTTTAGAGTAATGCTTTAAAAGCCTTTACAGGTTACCAGTTTAAATTTACACAAAAGGTACTGCCCTAGATCTGAGGTATGCGGTGATACCTCACATGTGTCGTGCCATCACCGTTCACATGTGTGTATAGGACCAACTTTTACTCTGTAACTTTAGACTTTTTGATCACTTTTATTGCTATTACAAGAGAGGACAACATCCCTTGTGATGGCATGGGCCATGGCAGGTCCTCTTTATGGAGTAATCTGGCCTCCAAAGCAGCAGATAAAACAGAGATCAGTTTGATCTGCTGCTACACAAGCTGGCAATGGCTTGTAAACAAAGGAACCAAGACTAGAAGTTCTGGTTTCTGATGTCCTGCAGTGGGAGGAACAAGATCAGTTCCTCACATGGTGCTCGGTGAAGCGGATGCCGCTGGTGGCATCACTACTGGGCTCTCCTGATCGTTCTGGAGAGCCTGGTAAAGGTGATGGTGGGAGGGGGGTGGGACCTCATTCTGCTGCCTGTATAAAGGAATCCTGGGGCTTATTAGCTGCTGAGATTACTTTTACATGGAAGGAAATCACCGGCTGAAAAATATATCTCGTTCATCGCAGCAGTGATGACCAAGATAATCCCTTTTCAGTCCTGTGATGTACTGGTACATTGCTGGTTGGCAACTAGTTAAATAACATACTTGGGAGATACCCTAAACCTGCTTGTGAATTGGCACATCTGTATTAAATAAAAGTGACCTATAGAAGGAAAAAAAAATACCATTTAATGCTAAATGGCATCTCCAATTCCCTGAATCTGCCATCCCCAACGTGATTAACACCACTGATACTCATTCTCAAAAATAATCAAATCGTAAATAAACACACACAGTGTGATAAAGTAAATAACAGACCACAAAAATAGTCCCATGGTGTAAATCTATTGCAAATTATGTCATCCAGCAATGCAGATCCAGCATCAACCATGATAATTCACAATCATGGCAACCCACACATGCTGATCCTCTCCTGATAAATTCTCTCTGCAACTGACAGCTTGCCAGTATTGGCCACATTTAGTCATTGATGTGACCCCAGTAAACCTGCTAGCTCAGCTAATGGGATCCTTCAATGCTGGGAAACTGGGGGATGCCTGGTCCTCACAACCAATGATGCTGTAAGGCTGTTAGCATCCTAAACACCACCTGTGGCCCACACTTCAGGAAGCTGTCATTTAGTGATGATGCTGTGACAGCGTGAGGAAAGTGCAGCCGATAACTGGCAATTGCATTTCCCGGTGATCAGTGTGTCATTGTACACAGCTGATCACGTGGTAAAAGGCCGCTATGATTAATCTTTTACCGTAGGACACAGCAATCACGGAGATCGCCAGGTGCGTGCCAGAGAGCGCGTTCCGGGAGGACGTCATATGACAGCAAGTGGTTAAACATACATTGGTAGGTTTTCTGGCTGCTGCACAAATTATCCTGATACCGCAATTTCAGACAAGTTCAAAAAAGTAAAGAAAAAAAAAATCAAGGCACCTACAAGCAATAGTTTTGATTGTCAGCATTAAGTTGCATTGAGCAATTTAGTCTTTTCTGTGACTGAAAGTTAGTTTGAGGAAGATTCCCATATTTTCTTTATAGGTACTGATATAGCCATATATATTGCCATTTTGAATAGTATGTTTGGATCAAGGTGGTCCAAACTATTTCCTCCACTGCAGTGTCTCTAAGCACTGTATTTACTGCATGTAGCTTCGGCTACACACAGTGCTGGGTTCCGGCTGTTAGACAGAGACTTCCCATTTCACACCTGGAACAATTTAGAGTTGGCCTGAGCAGTGCTCAGCCATTCATAGCTTTTTATTCTGTTAATGACATCATCAGATTATTTTTATTCTACAGTATTTATATAGCGCCAGAAGGTTTGCTCAGCGCTGTACATTATAGTGGGGGACAGAACATGAGACAATACAGTAACAAAACAAAACACATGAGGGGTTCGAGGGCCCTGCTCTTTCGAGCTTACAATCTAGGAGGGAGGGGATAGTGGTACAGGAGGAAGTGGCTGTGGGGGATGGAGTGGTGGGAGGAGTGGAGGAGTTTGGCTGTTAGGTGAGGGCGGAGTAGGCTTCCCTGAAGAGATGGGTTTTCAGGGTGCGCCTAAAGGTGAGGAGGGTAGGTTACAGTCTGATGGATTGGGGTAGGGAGTTCCAGAGGATGGGAGAAGTCCTGCAGTCGGGCGTGGGAGGTGGAGACCAGGGAGCTAGAAAGTAGGAGGTCTTGTGAGGAGCGAAGAGTACGGGTTGGGTGGTATTTGGGTATCAGGTCGGTGAGGTAGTTTGGGGCAGCGATATGAATGGCTTTGTATGTCTGTGTTAGTAGTTTGAATTTAATGCATTGGGCAATCAGAAGCCAGTGGAGGGAATGACAGAGGGGGGTGGCAGAAGCTGAGCAGTTGGTAAGGTGGATGAGTGTGGCCGCTGAATTCAGGATAGACTGAAGCGGGGATAGTTTGCGATGAGGTAGGCCAGTGAGAAGGCCGGAGAAGCGTTGTATTCATTCACAGAATACAAAGCCACCTATGAATGGCTAGGCGCCACTCAGACCAACTCTGCATTGTTCCGGGTGTGAGACAGCAAGTCTCTAACAGATGGAACCCAACACTCTATTGTAAAATATATAGCTAAACCAACATGCAGCTTATACAGTACTTAGCGACATTGCAGCACTTTGTGAAGGAAATAGATCGTTTGGACCAGATTGGTCCAAATTAACTATTTAAAGTGACAGGAAACCTGGAAATCAGTGTGCGTGTGAGTAAATGAGTGTTAAAATGTATAAAAACAATATTAACATACTATTTTGATCATCAAATATGAGGCCTTGCCTTCTTTAGGTTTTCAAAATATCTTACCTAGTGAACGAGCCGCAATTCCTTAATAGATCAACAAATGCAACACCAATAAGACCGTCAACATTGAGGATGAGATTTGGTTTCTGAAGGGAATAAAAGCACAAACTTGCAGATCAACAAAGGACACACAGTAAAAACAAAGGAACAACTCATACTATTCCACAAAACCTGCAACTGTACTGAAATCAGAGTATGATCCTTAGGGCTCCATTCACATTACCAGGTAGTGGGAACGAGTGTTCCCGCTGTACAATTTTCACTCGATTCCGTGTGTCGCATATTCAGGTGAATGGACTGCCCTATGCGCATTTGTCACCCAAAATGAAGCTCTTGTTCCTTTCCGTTGGCAAGTTTCACAGGATTTGTAGAGGCACCGTTTGCTGCGATTGCCGGGCAATCCTGACGTGCGACAATTGTGGCAAAGTCACATTGCATTTGGAGTGTCATTGAAGGATAATGGCACCAAAAACATGCACAGCACATTGTGCGGCTATTGCCATGTCATTGGGAATCGAGGGCAGAATTGCAGCACGATTCCAAATCACAAGATATGAACGGGTACAATTTTAGATTCCATTGTACAGTAGCCCCTAGGCATGAGCAGGTTTTGTCACAGCTTGTGGGCTAAGAATAGCCTTAGTGGTGCACCGAAATGAAAATTCTTAACCAAAAACCGAAATGGACAGGTTTTTCTTTTTCATATATAATTGTATTATATTCGAATTATTTAATATCTTGAATTTAAATGAATATGAATTTAAAACATACAATCCGTTAATGTAACGTATCTTATATTGAAAGTAACACACAAAAAATTGGACAGAAAATAAAATGAAATATATATAAAATTAAAAACACTTAAGTGGGGCGTTTCTGAAGTAACATCAATGGGTCACAATTTTGCTTAGGAGTCAATGGGACGCGTTTCCGCATTGAAGTCAATGGGACGCGCTTCCGCATTGAAGTCAATGGGACGCGCTTCCGCATTGAAGTCAATGGGACGCGCTTCCGCATTGAAGTCAATGGGACGCGCTTCCGCATTGAAGTCAATGGGACGCGCTTCCGCATTGAAGTCAATGGGACGCGCTTCCGCATTGAAGTCAATGGGACGCGCTTCCGCATTGAAGTCAATGGGACGCGCTTCCGCATTGAAGTCAATGGGACGCGTTTCCGCATTGAAGTCAATGGGACGCGTTTCCGCATTGAAGTCAATGGGGCGCGCTTCCGCATTGAAGTCAATGGGACGCGTTTCCTCATTGAAGTCAATGGGACGCGTTTCCGCATTGAAGTCAATGGGACGCGTTTCCGCATTGAAGTCAATGGGACGCGCTTCCGCATTGAAGTCAATGGGACGCGCTTCCGCATTGAAGTCAATGGGACGCGCTTCCGCATTGAAGTCAATGGGACGCGCTTCCGCATTGAAGTCAATGGGACGCGCTTCCGCATTGAAGTCAATGGGACGCGTTTCCGCATTGAAGTCAATGGGACGCGTTTCCGCATTGAAGTCAATGGGGCGCGCTTCCGCATTGAAGTCAATGGGACGTGTTTCCGCTTTGAAGTCAATGGGGCGTGTTTCCGCATTGAAGTCAATGGGACGTGTTTCCGCATTGAAGTCAATGGGACGTGTTTCCGCATTGAAGTCAATGGGACGTGTTTCCGCATTGAAGTCAATGGGACGTGTTTCCCATTGAAGTCAATGGGACGTGTTTCCGCATTGAAGTCAATGGGACGTGTTTCCGCATTGAAGTCAATGGGACGTGCGTCTGCATTGAAGTTAATGGGACGTGTTTCCGCTTTGAAGTCAATGGGGCGTGTTTCCGCACTGAAGTCAATGGGAAGTGTTTCCGCTTTGAAGTCAATGGGACGTGTTTCCGCATTCAAGTCAATGGGACGCGATTTTGAATTGTAAGTAAGTAAATGATCATTATGAGCACTTTTTTTCTTTCTAGTGGCAAAACGCAATATCCCTATTTCCAGCCAATAGTTTGGTGAATCACTAAATAGCCTACCTTTGAAGTAGTGATTTTTTCCACTTCCAGGGCATAGTCTAGCAGAGGAGTAGCTGGGAAGTGTTGCTTTACATAGTCTTTTAAGATCTGGACTCTCATATCTGGGTTGTTGATCTGAAAGAGAATTAAAAAAAAAACATACTTATATAAACCATCTCCTGAAAGTTTCAGATTAAGGTAATGTGGAAATAGTAAGAATACATTCCAATAAATACGCAGAAAGATCTTCTAAGAAATGACACCATAATCCATACATTTCTCAGGAAGCCACATACTAATACTTGGTACAGAAAGGTCTTGTCCCGTGTATAAGCTTCTGTTGGCCTTCCAGGATGTGATAGATGATGTGGTCCTACATGCGGTGTACATATGAATGCTTCTAACCTTAACCAGATGGTATGGATATCTGGCATTCACATTAAAAGCTTCAGGGCCTATTCACATTTAAATGCCGCAGTAAAACAGACATTACCATGCAAATGTCAATGACACTCTTTTTGAATTGCACCTAAACATACTAATTTACGAACATTGCACCATAACACATATGATGTGAATACATACCATGTGTTGTGGTGCACGGTTTTCAAAAAAAAAAAAAAAAAGAAGGGCAACTCCAGATAGCAAAAAAAACAAACAAAACAAAACAAAAAAAAAAACACCTTGCAGTGGGGGCCCCACCAACACTGCAGGGATTAATTCATTGTTCTATCTACAGCAGCGGTTCTCAACCTGTGGGTCGCGACCCCTTTGGGGGTCGAACAACCCTTTCACAGGGGTCTCCTAAGACCATCGGAAAACACATATTTCCGATGGTCTTAGGAACCGAGACACCGCTCCTCTATCCGTCTCCAGGCGGGTCCGCCCACATGCAGATACGTCCACATTTCCCTGGACCGCGATGTGTGTGCAGGATGACATGCCGCCCCTGTCATCTGGCCACATCCCCGGGATCACTCAACAGCTCCACCTCTTCGCCAGTGATTGGCCGCCGGAACTGTAGCTCAGGAGAGGCACACAGGCGGCCAATCACCGGCGAGGAGGTGGAGCTTGGAGAGGAGGAGCCGAGCACCAGCACGAAGATCAAAGAAGATCGAGCGAGGGAGTGGCCGGAGAAGGAAGACAGCTGAAAGGTAAGTGTCTGTAGCGTGCAGATGGTGCTGCTGCAGCCGGGTATGCTGGCTGTAGATGGGAGAGGGAGGGAGCGAGCCCAGGCTGGAGCAGGAGTCAGCAAGGTAAGTATCATTGGTGTCAGTGGGAGGAATAGTGCCCCATCATTGGTGTCACTAATACCAATGATGGGGCACTATTCCTCCCACTGACACCAATGATGGGGCACTATTCCTTCCCCCACTGACCCCAACGATGGGGCACTATTCCTCCCCCCACTGACACCAACGATCGGGCACTATTCCTCCCCCCACTGACACCAACAATAGGGCACTATCCCCCCCCACTGACACCAACGATGGGGCACTATTCCTCCCCCCACTGACACCAACGATGGGGCACAATTCCCCCCCACACTAGTATCAATGATGGGGCACTATTCCCCCCCCACTGACACCAATGATGGGGCACTATTCCTCCCACACTGACACTAATGATGGGGCACTATTCCTCCCACTGACACCAACAATGTGGCACTATTCCCCCCACTGAAACCAATGATGGGACACTATTCCTCCCACTGATACCAACGATGGGGCACTATTCCTCCCACTGACACCAATGGTTTTGCACTACTCCTCCCACTGCAAAATTACAGTTATGAAGTAGCAACGAAAATAATTTTATGGTTGGGGGTCACCACAACATGAGGAACTGTATTAAAGGGTCGCGGCATTAGGAAGGTTGAGAACCACTGATCTATAGGGTAATTAACAAAGTGAAATGCTTATTTACTGAAGGCTTCTTCCTGCCTGTATGACAGATCCGCTAAAGCCTCTTCCTCTTTGCTGCTTGAGTGGTCACAGCTCTCTGACTGACATCATCACATACAATTTAGAACCAGAAGTCCTGAACTGTATGTGAAAAGGTTAAGGGACCCATCCACATACTGGTAACATCACAGAACGGAAAAGAGTGCCACAGGGGGAGCAAAAAAATTAAAGTGTTTCACCATATTCATTACCACATAGAAGAAACGAGCAATTACTTATTTCAGTGGCTTTAACCATTTGCCGCCTGCCCTATGGCCGAATGGCGGGCGGCAAATGTCATCAGCGCTCCGGGTGGATGCCATATGGCACAGTTTGCGCTCCTGCAGAGCGGCGCAGCGGCGCGATCTGTCACCGGCTGTGTACCTCAGACATGGCCGATGACAGATCTGAATATCGGCCCCCTTGCCGGTACCATGTGACCTGCTGTGACCAATCACAGCAGGTCACATGACAGTTGTATACAATGGATGGCTTCATTCATGCCATCCATTGTATACTAGTGTCTAGCTGTGAATGGTCACAGCTAATCACATGCACATGTCATGTGATTAGCTGTGGCCAAATGACAGCTAAGCACAAAAAAAAAAAAAAAAACCCTGAATGAATCAATGTCATTCAGGTAAATGCGTGCTTATAGCAAAGTAATTCTTTTGCTATAAGAAAATTGTGTAAAAAAAAAAAAAATACTGATCACTTCCCCAAACATTGCACTACTTTGGTCATAGTGAAATATGAAAAAAAAATCTTAAAAAAAAGAAAAAAAATGTAATAAAAAAAAAAAATAAATAATATATATATATTTTTTTTTCATACTGTCACCAGTCATTGTCCCTGATCACCGCCATGCCAGTTATATGATGATGCTGTACTGCACTGGTGACCAATATGTAAAAAAAAAATAGTGAATTTTTTCATTTTCCGAAAAATTATGACAAAAAAAATACAACTTCAAAAAAACTCGCCATGCCTCTTATGAAGTACGTCGGACTGTCTACTTTGCAAAAAGGGGTCATTTGGGGGATATCTGTACTGTTCTGACATTCTTGGACCTCAAGAAATTAGATTGGCCGTCAGTACTTCAGGATTGATCAATATTCAGATCTATACCATAGTTTGTGAACTCTATAACTTTCCTACAAACTAAGTAATACATCCTAATTTGGGTTATTTTCACCAAAGAAATGTAGCAGAATACATCTCGGCCTAAATTTATGAAGAACAATTATTTATTTGCAAACTTTTATAACAGAAACAAAGAAAAACTTTTTTTTTTTTTTTCAAAATTTTTGGTCTTTTTTTGTTAATTTAGCAAAAAATAAAAACCCCAGCGTTGATTAAATACCACCAAAAGAAAGCTCTAGTTGTGTGAAGAAAATGATAACATTTTAGTTTGGGTACAATGTTGTATGACCGCGCAATTGTCATTCAAAGTGTGAGAGCGCTGAAACCTGAAAACTGGCCTGGGCAGGAAGGTGTAAAATTGCCCGGTATTGAATTGGTTAAAGTGTGCTACCAGCCCATTAAAAATACAGTGCCTTCAAAAAGTATTCATACCCCTTTGAAATGTTCCACATTTCCACATTTTGTCGAGCACAATGCATGGAGGGGGAAAGGAACTCAAGCCTGTAGCCTATAGATAACACACTGCAGACCCAGTCATCTGAGACTGCCAGAGTCCAGGCAATCACGAGGGCCCATGGATGTCCCCTGACCTGCCTGAGTGGGGGGAGCCCCTTTACTATGAGGAGGAATTGCCTCTGGAGTCAGACGACTCAGGAGTCCAGTTCTTACAAAACTAGAACTTGGGCTTATTGCTTAGAACCTGAGGCTGGTTGCTTAGAAAACTGTTCTTGAATTTCAAAAGGAGTCACTGGTTTTTGACCAGTCACTTTTGCCTTCCTTAGAGGTAAGAGCATGTTTTTCCCCACAGTCACCTCCTGGATGTAAGCATGCAAGGGTGGTCCAAACAAGCGTTCAACCTCAAGGGGCACTCTTAATTTGTTAAGCAGAGGAGGGAAAGGAAAGCTTCCATGTTGGCATCCTAGACTGTTCACACAACCCAGATATGGCTGCTGAAAATTCCTCTCTTGAAACAAAGGAAGTGAAGGACTGTGCCCCCGAAAGAGTGGAAATGCCAAATAACAGCAGGGATTCAGATCCTGTGGGGAGCCATTACAGGATGAGCTGTGTAGGGGGGTTCTCTCTAGCCTATAGCCCACCCCATCATCCTTTCCACCGCCTCTCAAACTGTTTGAGTCCATGGCTTGCCAAGGATGGAAAAAGCCTATTAATCCCAGAGGAAAATGGCCACCGAGCTGAAAGAAGTGAAGTGTCAGACAAAGCCACAACTCCTGTGTGCAGTCACCCCTTAGTATACAAAGTCCCAATACTTGCTGTACCTGGGTAACGAGAACCTGTGGAGGCTTGTAGGTAGAATGGAGCTGAGCAGACTGGTGGTGGGGGGGGGGGGGGGTTAGGAGTTGCTGATCAACATTTTATACCATAAATACAAGTGTGACATGTTGGTAAAGCTGGAGTTAGCCTTTAAAGCTTTACCCATAAGTTTTACAGGGATGTATATATATATATATATATATATATATATATATATATATATATATATATATATATATATACATACACATATACACACATACATATGTCCAGTGCACTAGCAGTGTGGATTGAAAAAGAGTGCTGTCCAATTTCTAGGCAGTGCGGTCCAGTTCAGGTGCGGATTACAGGCTATTGACTTCTATTGGAACCGCACATGTCATCAGTTGTGAACAGGATTGCAGATCAGGATCAGGTTTCAGCACACCGGCCCTGAACAAGTAGATTGCAATCTGCACTGAATCCGGACCTTGAAATCTGGAATACACCATGTGTGAATCGGCACTAACCCATATGTGTCAAAACACAAGGCCCGCGGGCCAAATCCAGCCATCCAGGCCATTTCATGTGGACCTTGCATCTCTCCTGCAGTTGCAGTATCCCCCTGGTCTCCCCCACCTTGTCTCAGGGGTCGGCAGCAGAGAGGAGGACACTACTCCTCTGCCAGATCATGCGCTTCTCCAGTACACACAGAGGCTTGTCTCTACTTCCCCCATCTCAGCAGCAGAGAGGAGGACAGAACTCCTCCTACAGATCATGCCCCTCTGTGCAGCTGCAGCACCCCCTCGTCTCCTCCTCCTCTGGTTTCAGCAGCTGACTCAAGCCCTCCTTTGGTGCTCCTTCAGACCCTGCACTTTCCGCTTTCCAATGCCACCCCAGCTCCTTCCGACAGCAGCACAAGGTAAGGGGGGGGGGGGTCACTGTGATATAAGAGAGGCTGGGGGACTCTTGACTCCTGATGGTAGGTGGCTGTTAACATCTAAGGGGGAGTGGGGTGCTCTGGACCCCTGGTTTTACAGATACTAATGACCCTTTGAGGGCAACCATAATGCTGATGCAGTCCGCAATGAAACTGAGGTTAAAGCAAATTACAAATTATTTATGTGAAAATTGTTGTCAGTTTCTATAGTGCACATTTTAGAGGATGTCAAATAACCCCTTTTCATATTTCATAGGACTGCCCTAAAATGAAAATATGTTTGTGTACAAGTTGATCTATACTATTTGCGGAAGAGTAATCCCTAAACGCCCCACAGAAGCCTACTTCAATATCTAACAATACCAAAAGACAGTTCTGACTTGGTATTCATGGCAGCCAAACAAGTACTAGATAAAGTGTGGTGGTCAGCAACGCTTAAACTGGAGCCAACATAGAATGTCCTGGTACATAATTAATGAAAAAAACTGGTGGGACCAGTTAGAACAGTTTAAGCAGAGAACTTTGAATTCTGATTGGTTGCGGTCGGATACTCTGCTAGCAGCCTGAACTTTACCTTATGAAATAAAGCAGATTGGCTAAAGAGGAGCACTTACAGATTTGACTCGGTGACCAATGCCCATGATCAGTTTTCCTTCCTTTTTCATCTTGTTTACAAACTCCATGGGGATAAGACCACTGTCAAAAGCTTTACTAAACATTCTGGCAGCTGCATCAAGGGCTCCTCCAAAACGATCTCCCTATAAAATATATAGAAATCAATGGCTACAAGTGTATAGAGAAACATAGGATTTAAGCATACAATGAAAAATGTACTTCCTTTACAATATGATGTGCTGGAGTTAGGGTAGTCATATACGCGTAGATTTCTCTTGTACAGCAAGGTAGGCTGTGCAGGAGAAATCAGTTGATTCCCCCAGCCACACTAGTGTGGATGGAAAAATAGTGACTGGCGGCTTATTGGAATCAGACAGCCACAGCACTTGTGGCTGACTGAATACCTTATCAGTGACTACATCTGATAGGATGCAGTCGCTGTTCGGCCAATCATTTTTCAACTGGGTTTGTCAATTTAAAAAAAAAAAAAAAAACTTGAGCTGAGCTGTGCCAATAGGGTATCAGCTTGGATATTGACAAATTTAGTGGGACTCAACCAATTCCAATCTTTGTTTGGCTAGCTTTACTGTTTGTGATAGACTTACAATTGTGAGCAGGCCAGAGGTAAGACTGGAAATGAGGTCTTTGCCAGCTCTGGCACACACAATGGTGTTATGGGCTCCAGAAACAGCTGGTCCGTGGTCTGCGGTTACCATCAGGCACATTTCCATGAAGTGGGAAGCATATTTAGGGACCCTAATGGAAATAAAGGTTCATTAAAATTGCAAATTCATTCAAAATCTCTGCATGATAACAAATAATAGTGTGTCACCGCCTTTGGAACCAAAGCAGGCCCAACACACCACCAATTCCAATATCTTCCTTGAAGACATCTGTGATGGGCATGCCGGCATAGATAAGCTCCTGGCCTCTCTCGTCACATATACTGGTCATGAAAGAGGCAGGCTTCCTAATCAATCCCAACTCCTGTAATGTGACACAAAACAGAAAGATTGTGACGGCTGGATTTACATTAAAGTGAAAGTAGACTTAATTTTTCAAACATTTGCTGTCAGGCAGGGTATTTATGACAGAAGAGACCCTATCTGTCTCTCCTGCCATAAATGCATCCTCCTGCCTGTCAGCCGACATGTACACCAAGCCGCGAATGTGCAGCTCAGCGAACACTAGGGCCTTGATCAGTGCCGCGACAATGTGACTCCTGTGCACATGAGCAAGAGCGATGTCATCGTGGCCTGACCTATCAAAAGTCCGAAATCACAGAACCCAGAAGCATGACCGGGCAAAGGTAGAAGCGCCGGGGGCCCGCTGGATTGATCCCACCACAGTGCTGGAGGGCACCGTTTCACAGGTAAGTCTGCCATAATGTCCTAATAGGCTGTGCATACTAGCACATTATGGCATAACGCCATCTGCGGGCCCCTAAAAAGAAAATTATACAGCAGAGTTAACTAGCACTTTAAAATGCAGGTCTTGCCATTACAAATAAAAATTATATTTTTAAACAATCCTGATCAGAGTTCTTTTAGGCTGTTACAATAAAAAAAAGCAGAGTGCACAAGGCACGTCATCATGGTCAGCCACAACACGGCTACAACTAGACTGGCAAAGTTTAAGGACAAGGCTATGTTTAGCAAGACATCAGTGCTTCTATATCAACATGTATCAGAGAAAGAAAACATGAATCTGATTGCTATGGGGTAATACAGATATTACTAGGGTTTTTTTTAGTGAAGGGATGAACCAAACTGGCTGCAATGAGGCAACATGGGATATCTTCACCTTTAAGGAACGCAGATAAATTAAGGCCAAGTAAGTTAGCAGACAGCACCCATAAGCCTTTTTGCAGCGACTACAGTTATCCCTGGCAGGCACATGAACCGTCATCTGCATAGGAATCATGCACCTAAGTAAATGAGGATTGTACTTAAAGTATGGTTGAGCTCAGGGCTTGGACTCATGTCTGAACATACCTGAGCTCATCCCTACTTGACACAGCAGAGTACACTGTATAAGATCCAGATAGGGCAAGCAGATAAGAAGATGGATGCCAATGGATACTTGCCCTCGCCCAAGAGTAGTCCATAGGTACAGTTGGAGGGGGTACTTCTTCTGCTGGTACGATTTCACCTTTGGCAACCAGATCCTCATACACTGACCTTTGCAAAACAAAACAAGCAGAGTTAAGCAATTGCTCATTAAACAAGAACACTTAATCGGAGTACATCCTGATTAGAGGCATCACTACAAGGCTATGCATCAACTAAAGCCATACTGTTTACCAATGACCATGATGAAATCACACTCACTGAATAACATCACCGAGCTCATCAAAGCTTCGTGGCACATATACTCCAGATTCCTTCAAGGCCTTATTTTTGGCAACGGCTGTCTCTGAGGCCTGGTTGGCACAGGCTCCTGCATGCCCAAACTGAACCTGTGATGAAAAAATACATGGGTGATGAAAAAGACCCGGCTCAAGAAAATCAAACCCATGGTATTTTTGGCAAAGCGAAGACAAAATTTATTTACCAGACTATGAGACTCAACACAGCAACCCATCTCCTAGGGCTACAAAAGGGTGTCTCGAAACAGACAAAAACTCAGCAGCTTGTTATTGTATTACTTATTTCAGGTACTTATATAGCGCCATCAATGTACGCAGCGCTTTACATATATCTTGTACATTCACATCAGTCCCTAACCCTCAAGGGGTGTACAATATAAGATCCCTAACTTACAATCACATACAAGGGCCAATTTAGACAGGAACTAATTCACCTACCAGCATGTCTTTGGAGTGTGGGAGGAAACCGGAGTACCCAGAGGAAACTCACACAGGCACAGGGAGAACATGCAAACTCCAGGCAGGTGGTGCCATGGCTGGGATTCGAACCAACGACCCCAGTACTGCCAGACGGAAGTGCTAACCATTTAGCCACTGTGCTGCCCATATTATTGTATGAATATATGATCAATTAAAATACTTTAAGCTTTGCAATTAGTCTCTGAGCAGTAAACAAATCAAACCCAAAATAATCTGCTTTAAAGACGGTACTACTCAAACCAAAATACTAAAATCCTAAAAGTATACCTAACTCATTTAGTATTTTTATAACCTGCAATCTGGTTCCCAACCTCTAGAGACAAAATCAAGAAATTGTTAAAGCGAACGTTTATGTACTGTTTGCACGGTGTAATTGGGCAACTATGTGGCAAATGAGGTTTAATGTTGATAAATGTAAAGTTATGCACTTGAGGGCTAAGAATATGCATGCATCATACATACTAGGGGGTACAACTGGGGGAATCAATGGTGGAGAAGGATCTGCGAGTTCTGGTAGAACTGCCCAGCTGCGGTTTTCAAAGCAAACAAAATCCTCTTTTGTATTAAGAGAGGGGTAGACTCCAGAGAGAAAGATATCATTTTACCCCTGTACAAAAAAAGACCATCTGGAATACGAGGAAGTCATACCTGAGGGGTCCCCATGCGGAAGCTGGAAATCTGCTGAGTCCAGTGCTGAGCAGCTGCCCTGCTGCAATGTAACCACAGGGGGTTGCTCGCTCAGAACAGGCGTTTTTAAATGCAAGCTATTCTCTGATTGAATGAGGTGGAGAAGCAAAGTGGTAACGTCACACTCTCCACCTAGTCTAATCAGAGAATTTCTTGCATTCAATGAGAAAAATGTGATGTGTTCTGTGTATGGTGCCTGTGATGAGCAAAGGACCCCCCCTTCCCCTATGTCACGGGGCAGCTGCTCTGCACTGGACCTGGAAGACAATGGTGATCACTGTACTAGCGGCATCTACTACAGTGATTACCAGCTTCTACAAGGATCCCACAAGTATGGCATAAGAACACATCACCTCTGAGTATATACTGCAATAATATTTAATAAAAGGATAAGTAGTAACTCACATCTTAGAATATAAAAACAGGCTCATAAGGTGGAGAGGTGAAACATCTGTAGCCAGATGTTAGGTGACTGATCCAGAAAGGAGATAGCCTAGGTCCGCCAGCAAATGATGCTGTGTATGTGAAGCATGGATGGTGAAGTCTGGCAGAGTCTCCAAGATGTCCAGGGTCGGTCACGTTTTGTGTCTGCCGTCATCAAAATGCAACACGTTTCTGAGCATGCACAGGACGAGCGTCGCTCGGTGTGCCCTTTTATCAGGCTGCACGAACGTGACCGGCCCTTGGACATCTTGGAGACTCTGCCAGACTTCACCACACAGCACCATCTGCTGGCGGACCTAGGCTTTCTCCTTTCTGGATCAGTCACCTAACATCAGATCATTGTATTAGTGTCACTAGTGATGTCCATGACCTTTGCAGCCAGTGTCTGTTAGTGCCAGAAATATTGGGATTTTTTTTTTCTTTCACCAAAGACATTACAGCAGAATACATTTTGGCCTACATTTATGAAGAAACTTGATTTTTTATTGGATAGATTTTACAACAGAAAGTAGAAAATATTGTGGTTTTTTAATATTTTTTGTGGTCTTTTATCATTTATATAATAAACAAAAATCCAAATACTGACCAAATAACAACAAAAGAAAGCTCTAGTTGTGTGAAACAAAATGATAAAAAAAGTCATTTGGGTACAATATTGCATGACCGAGCAGTTGCCAGTTAAAGTAATGCAGTGCTGAATAGAAAAAAAAATGCTCTTGTCACGAAGGGGGTAAAACCTTCTGGAGGACACATGGTAATTACCTCTGATGAAAACATGGTTGCACAGGTTCCTATACACCAACAGACAATGGGCTTTGTCAGCCTGCCTTCTTTAATACCATGACAGATCTTGTATTCCTCTGTACCACCAATCTGAGAGAAAAGCAAGGATGTCAATGAGCATTTGCTAAAACATATTTAGATTATATGTCACAAAATATATACATTTAACGCCTCATTAACACCAGTGAACCACCCTAAACACACGACCACCTTTTATGCACAGTTCCATTTTGCCAATCTCGACATATCACACTCTCTATTTGTTACCCCCACAGAACTTTATTGAAATGTTTACAAGTGACATTTCAATACAGTTTCATTCACTGCAGCGTTGTTGCGATACAGTGGGTTGGATCTCAACCCCCTGGGTTTGATAAATATAAATGTATAGCATGCAGTACCTTTTTTTCAGCGCACACCACATTAATGCCGTGGTGTGAACCGACACAATTAAAAACAAGGGATCTTGTCTTCAATATGCATTTGAGCTGCACCTGCAATAGCAGCCAGCAAAATCCCAACGTATCTCGTGTGAACCAATCCTTGAATTATTTTTTTTTTTTTTTGGGGGGGGGGGGGGGAGAGAAATCTTCCTTCCAAACAAGTAATCCTACTAATCTAAACACAAATACATCCTTGACTCTAACCACACATAAGACAAAGCCCCAAAATTTACTGCACTCCTCTTTATGCTCACTCATCCTACACCTTTTTTTGCTCCTGCAACTCTCACATTTGCACAAGACTTGGCATAATACACTTTAAGTTGGCTGAGGGCACAAAAATGCCAACACTCCAATTATATATACAGGTTTAAAGAGTGGCAACTTTCAATACACATTCACTAAGGCTCAGTTCACACTAGGTGACTCCAATGTTGAGCGATTTTCAATGTGACTTTACACTCTCTGACACTAAGTCTCATCAAACGTCTTATCAAAGTAGCGCAGGCGACATTTTAAAGTCGCACTGATCTGAGTGGGTGTCATTGAAAATGGGCTGCGACTTGTCAAGCAACTTTATGTGTCCAAGTCGCATGGCCAGTCACACTAGTGTGAACCGAGCCTTAAGGTTATAACTACATTGTTACGTTGGGAAAAAAGCACAATAGTAATGGAGAAATTAAATAGAACTCACCTCTCCAAGGACTACAATCATTTTAACTCCTTCTGTATCTTGATAACGTAAAACATGGTCCATAAAGGTGGAACCCCGGGATACCTAGCAGTGAGGAAAAAGGCAGTTAGAAAACCTTTATTCTGTTTTATATGGTGGTATTTCTAAAATGTTCATGAGCAGTGCTAGAAAACAAACATAAATAAGCTCTTTTCATATTGTACAAATGCTGTCTGCAGCTGTTGGCTTCCTTTTGTGCCTTCTTATAAAGTTCTATAGGAACTGGAAAGGGGATGGTGTGATGGGGAGCAAATGGGCCGTCATCTTCTTGTGTCCTACGAGTTACTGTTAGGTCCGTATATATTTGGACACAGGCAATGTTGCTGCTATCTCTCTGATGGATTTGTTTCGTTTTTGAAGCCTTACAATGCCTTGTTTCACTTGCATGGACAACTCCTTTGAACACATGATTTCACAGCAATAGATTCCAAATGCAAATACCACACTTAGAATGAACTCCAGACCTTTTACCTGCTTAATTGATGAATAAATAATGCAGTAGCCCACACCTGGCCATGAAACAGCTTTTGATTCAATTGTCCAATTACTTTTGGTCCCTTGAAAAAGGGGGATGTCTACTCTTAAGAGCTGTAATTCCTAAACCCTTCCTCCAGTTTGGATGTACATACCCTCAAATTAAACCTGAGAGTGTGCACTTTTAGCCCATATCCATTATCTGACTATAGCTTGACTATGTTTTGGTAAATACCCGAAATAAAACTAAAATTGTGCCTGTGTAAGCATACGCTTACTAGAGAACATTGATGGTAATGCTTTCCTACTAATCTTTTCTCTTTTTCACAATTAACTTGGTTATGTCCTTGCCCCAATCTATTCTTTCAACACTTGCTGGTGGGTGTTCTACAGCTATTGGAAACACCCTAATCTAACAGCAGCTGCCAATAAGACAGTTCAACTTGCAGAGGCTTATTGAAACTGTTGAAAGTAATAAAAACTGGAGTACAAAGTAATATACATCATTTAAAAACTAAAATATATTGAAAAGTAAAACATCTAAATTAAACATATATGTAATTCATCAATAATGTTTTACATTTTTCACGTTCAATGGTGAGCTTATGATTTCAAAGGCGAGCTTATAATTTCAAAGGTTTTTACCTGTCGCCACCAATGGCTACTCCTTCATAAACGCCATCTGTGGTCCTGGAGATGATGTTGTTGAGCTCATTAGACATACCACCAGAGCGGGATACATAGGCAACACTGCCGGGACGATACAGCTTGGAAGCCAAAATGTTATCCAACATTCCCCCCGTGTTGCCAATCTTGAAGCAACCAGGTTTGATGCCACCAACCTAAAGACAATAAGGACAGCTCCAGTATTTTACCAAAATTAAAATAATTGATACTACCAGCATGACGTCCCTGCATTCCAGGGCAATTAAAAGTGCATCTAAACCTTTTTTATTTTGTTTAAAATAGACAAGAAAAAGGTAGAACCTCTGTGAGATTTGTATTGTGGTCTGTGTCTATTGTGGAGATTAACCCTTTTATATGCCTTACTGACCACGAAGTTCTCACTGGAACAGGATGAGGAAAAATAAGGGGATATTTCTTCCCGTGACAATTGTCTATGGGCATCTTCAAGAAGTGTACTTCTGTGCTAGGGAGTCATACGTCTTTGCCTACAATTGAGAGCAGCAGCCTGTAAAATCCATGACAGACTAGCAGACGATGAGGTTGTATACATGTATCTGAGAATGCATCTATGACCACTCATAGATGTGCGTTACATTCCTACAGCCACTGCGTCTGTCAGCCTGTCATTGATTTGTACAGGCTGTTGGCTGCAACTGTACACAAACCCCTCATGATGTACATCTTCTGCATCCCTGTACATTAGCCTAAATGGGGACTACCCTTATTTCAGAGAGATTACTTTCTGCTGTGTCTACGAGACAGGAAGTTAAGGTAATTTTCCAGAATGGGACACAGATGGCATAAAACCCTAACGAGGGCTTTAGCTATTTCCTACACTACCCAAAACTGAAGAAAAAAAGTTATGCTCTAGATGGGCTTTTCCCTTTTGATACAAGAGCCGTATTTCCCCACCCCCTATTTTGGACACATAATAAAATTCACTTTTTATATTCCAATAGTTTTTATTGAATAATTCAGTAATACAAATGAACAATGTGATTGCCGTTGGATCTACTGCGGGGGACATTCTTTTAGTTTTTTCTTTTAATAAAGGACTTGTCAAAGATCGTGTCCTGTCTATTTTTTCACACTACACTTTTTTGTTTTTTTGTGAATGAGTACAGATACTATGTAGCCCCCCCCCTGCCCCAAAGCACCCCCCCTGGTCTGGTATGGTTCAGGAGGGGCGCTCGCTCGTCATCCTCCCCCCCTTTCCTGACCTGCCGAGCTGCATGCTCGGATAAGGGTCCGGTATGGATTTTGGGGGGGACCCCCACGCCATTTTCTTTTTTTTTCCAATTTTGGCGTGGGAGTTCCCCTCAAAATCCATCCCAGACCCGAAGGGCTTGGTATGGATGGGAGGGGGGACCCCACAATGTTTTTTAATTATTTTTTTTAATTGCTGGCAATTCTTTTACATTCAGCTGTCAGTGGGGAACCCGCTGACAGCTGAAACATTAACACATGGTTGTCACTACTAAAATACCACATGAATTAATAAAATAAATCATGCAGTATTTTAGTAGTGTTTACTTTTTTCAGACTTCTGGAACAGATTAATTGGTTTTCAATGCATTCCTATGGGAAACGGTGTTTCGGTTTACGAATTTTTCACTATACGAAAAGCCCTGTAAAACGAATTAAATTTGTAAACTGAGGTATTACTGTAGTGTTCTTTTATCACACGATCATTTACATCAAAATGTTACATTTACAAGTGTAAATAACCCTTTGGTGTGGAATTTTATTTCTTTTACACATTTATGTTCCTGATGAATCATTTCTGTAATTTAGGATTTGTTACTTTATCTCCAACAGAAAAGGCTCCTTTTTATGCTCTCCTATGTAGACAGCACATAGGTAGAAATAAAACCTATATGAGTTGACTTTTACACAATGCAGTCTATGTTGTCAACATAAGCATATTTATGTTATTAATTTTTTTTGGGTGGTGAGGATTTCACTTTCTCCACTGGTACATAGCCCAGAACTCACACCTATCTATATACAGAAAACCCAACACTTACTGTAGCAGGCCCAATAATAGTGACTCCTTTCTCATCAGCAGTTTTGATGAGCTTCCTGGTTAAAGCTTCTGGAATTCCTTCTGCAATGATTGCAATGGTTCGGATCTACAGACATAAATTAAATGGACATCGGTCAATATAAATCTACAAATACAAAAAAGTCCCTCTAACAAAGTCGCTTTTGCCAGGTCAAAAACTTTCCCCTTATGAGTTTTCCACTTTGTCACAATTAACTGCACCACCAAAGCATACTGTGACAGGTTTAAAAAAAATCCAAGAGATGACTAGTCAGAAGAAAATAGGCAAGACTGCCAGTAACCTGAGGATAATTCATGGTCTCCACAGTGCTGTCATATGCCGATCTCAGAGATGCAAAGTTCGTGAGCACATCCACTTCTGGGTGTTTCCGCATAGCATCCGCCATATTCTTGAAGACTGGTATCAAGATTTCTTTGTGACCCCAATAAAACTTCTGCTTATGATCCCCACTGGTAAAAAGAAAGTTGCACAAGGTTCAGGTATACTAACGAAAAGAGTGATGAAAGCAAATATTCTAATGATTTAAATATTGGGCCAGGAAAAGATGATGAGTCTCTTCCTCTATCTACTAGTTTCTGCTGTTTACTAGGGCAGATTAAAAATAAATAAATAAATAAATAATGGCGTCCCAGTTGCCATCAATCTATTTCCAACTTGAAATACTTCACTGCATCTTTGGTAACTATTAAGGATGAATTGCTCCACAAGGCCTCTAGCTAAAGAGATTTTAAAAGCCTGTTTTAAAGTTTATTAACAGTTCAAGGCTTCATGCACACTAGTGTTTTTTTAAGAAGATTTGAGCATTTTTCTCTGCTCCTAGAAGCTAATAGTATTATCCTATGTGTGCATGCACACCATCTATTGCTAGAAGTGTTTTTCAAGCATTTAGGACCAGAAAAAAAAAAAAAAAAAAAGAAAAAAAAAATTTGTAGTGTTTTTGGGAGCAAAAAAATTGCTAAACACTCCTAACAGCTTTATCAAGCTTTTTTTTCTCTTCATGTACTGTAAAAAATGCTAATAAAACGCTAACAATCCTAGACGCTTCTAAAAGCTACTAGAATGCTACTACAAGCTGGCATAAAAACGCTATTATCAGCATTTGTTTCCTAGTGTCTTGGGAGCTTATAAAAAACGCTAGTGTGCATTGAGCCAAGAAGGGCAATATTCTTGAATGTCCATATCCTGGCCAATGACCATTACAACAGTTAATGGGAACAGTCCATATTCCACAAATTGTTTTAGCAGGTGTCGGGTTATAGAAATAAAAAGCGGTTGCTTTCAAGGAGTAAAATACTGCAGTTCTAACACAGGAGAATCAATCAACCAGAAGTTGATTGGGATAAAGGAATAATATCCTTTGCAGGTTATTTATTTATTTCGGGTACTTATAGAACGCCATCAATTTACGCAGCGCTTTACATATACACACACACACATATATATATATATTACATTCACATCAGTCCCGTAACCCTCAAGGGGCGTACAATCTAAGGTCCCTAACTCACATTCATACATACACATACTAGGGCCAATTTAGACAAGATCCAATTAACCTACCAGCCTGTCTTTGGAGTGTGGGAAGAAACCATTCATCGTGATATGCAAATAATGAAAGTGAAATTCACAGTTCAGTGCAAATCAGCAAATCTAAGACTCCATGTACACGAGCCTACCCTGTCCGCTGGCCACGGGAAACCACAAATTGAAGTACTGCGGTTGCGCCGCGATTTCGTTTTCCCGCGGTCAAAACGTTCCTATCCTGAACACGATTCTTCTGCGTTCAAATGAGGGGGGGGTTTAACCTCACCTAAACACAGCAGCTCCTAAACTCTGCTAAAAGCCTATGTGTACATGGACACACAGGCTTTTATGAAGTTGAGTTTAAAATGCCAAAAGCTCCTAAACTCGAGTTTAGGAGCTGCTCATGTACATGAGCCCTTATATTGTGCAGATAATTCCCCACGAAGGACCATCTCTTGCTATAAATTAACCCAACAGGTTGAAAATGAACAAAAAAACTTGAGTTCTTGGGAACCATAGCGGAACTGAAGACAGTCTCTTCAGTGAACAAGACCAAATATTACCTACATGCACATAGGCAGTTTGGCACGTCAGTGTCAAATTCCTGTGTTTACGAGTACCCAAGAGTGGCATCCAGCCCTACTGACAGCAGCCTATCAAAATCTAGGACAGGCTGAAATCCACAAAAGCTGGACACTGTACTGAGCTGTGCTCTCACCTGGGGTCTTGTGCATTCAGAATTTCTACGTTCAGTTCATGAGTCCTAAATGCCAGTGGCACCCAGCATAGTGTCCAGCCATCATGTATTTCAGCCTCTTGTGTGTCACCACCAATTGATATTCTTCTTAGAATATTGGATTATATTATATTTTGATTTTTATTACTAATGTTCTTTACAATTTTCATTTTATATTTAATTTTTATTTCTGGTTTTGTTCCCCTTTCTTGACCTCTGGTTCAGTGTTTCTCTTTGTCAGGTAAATTTCAGGTGCTCCTATAGTTTTTATATAATGATTTTGTAGATCTTATATTTGGTAATAACCATATATTAACATATTTCCAGAAATTTTTTAGGGAATAATATTTGTCTAAAAGATATTGTAATATTTGTAGAATACATTTCTTGTTTTTAAATCAACTTTTTTTTATAACAACACAGGAAGAATATTATGTTGATTATTTTTTGCACTTGTTTTTAACTTTTTGTAGTCAATCTTACTTTTGACCACAAGATGGCTCATTATAGAAGTTGTTCACACTTTTTTGTTGCTATAGTACCATGAGACAGCACTGAATGTGTTAGGAATGCAATTTGTATGCAGGGTTAACTATCAATCTTCTCCCTTTGTACTCTGCTCTAATTAAGATGTCTTCCTTCTTGTGTCGTTCTGTATAAAAAGGGATGAGTGGCAGCGTGTGTCTCCGTGCTTCTGATGTCACTGACGTCATTAACATTTGACGAAACTAGTAGGGCAGAGACAGAGCACACACCACTACGTATACGTGATACCACCATGGCCATCTTGGATTCTAGAGTATGAGTTGTTTATATGATATGAAGTGCCTGGTTGTCATCTTTTTATTGTAAGTGCATTTACCACATTAAATTAGTGTATTCATTGAGATTACACTATGGAGAGCCTGTTTTTTTTTTTCTTTTTCGTGATACTATGTCCAACTGAGTATATATGCACAGTGATCTGACATAACACAGCTGTACCACCGTTTGACATGTGGTTTTCAGGAAAGCTGGATATCTTGGATTGATACACAACTGCTGGTTGACCAGTCTTAATTGGGGGTCATATGATTCTGGTAAGCCTCCCTCTGTTGTACACCGAGGTGCTGTGTGGCTTATCATTAAGACGTTTGGTGGCGTTTGGTATCCACATCTGTCATTTCTCATATAAACGAAGAACCACTGAATTCAACGTTTTTGGCTTCACATTTGGATTCCTTTGTTATTTTTTCAGTTAGTGGTGACACATAAGAGTTTGATATATTTGTATTGCACATACAGTTGTGCTCAAAAGTTTGCATACCTTGGCAGAAATTGCGAAATTTTGGCATTGATATTGAAAATATGACTGATCATGGCAAACAATGCTCTTTTATTGAAGGATGATGATCATATGAAGCCATTTATTATCAAATAGTTGTTTGGCTCCTTTATAAATCATAATGATAACAGAAATCACCCAAATGGCCATGATAAAAAGTTTATATCCCCTGGAATGTTTGGCCTTGGTACAGACACACAAGGTGACACTCACTGAGCACATGGTACAAGGCCACTGTAATTGGCCTTTTACCTTGTCATGTGATCAGCTGTGTCCACAGGACACAGCGATCACAGACAGCGCCGGACACGTGCTACTGGGGGAGTGTTATGTCCCTCCCAGAACTGGGCAACCGCGTTGTAGCCGTCATTTGGCTATAGCCGGTTGTCAAGTGGTTAAAGACCCAAAACCTGCCTAGTTTTCCAACCCTTTTTGTGGTATGCGAAAATCAAGCTCCTACTGGAGTCTGTGTTCTTGTTGGAAACATTCAACCCTCTACCTGTCTCAGTGACTAAATAGGAAGTAAGGGAAATTTTCCGTAACAGGACAGAGACATGGTAAAATCAGGCAAAGGTTCTAACCCTTCCCCACTCTATCGAAAATTAAAATGAAAGTTTTGGCTGGTTTCTAACTGAGGCAATTAAGCATTTAAATATCAAGGATGCACAATTACAGTACATGCATCTTTATAATGTTGCAATGTGGAACTTACGTGAAAGGGTAAACCATTGCAGCCACTGACGGTTCAGAGCGTGAACAGACATAGTCAAAATCCAGCATGCCTTGCACAGCCCGGGTCTGCATACCCCATACAATAGATTTGGTGTGACGGCTAAACAGTGTAGTGGCCTTTGCTGCAATAGATTAAACATAGATCAGTGAGAGAAGAGTGGTAAAGGTGAAAATGAGGGGCAACAGACACAGGAATGAATTTAAGCAGAGAGGTGGCAAAGGACAATAAGCACACAGAAATCAAAAGGACATGGGCACCTAACACAACAAAAAGGATGTATCTACAAAATTTCAGATGGACAATCCATTTTCCTCACCATTTCACCACTATCATGCATGGCAAACAAATGAAGAAGTTTGCAAGTGATACTTTTTCTGTTGTTAAGTGGCAATTGAACATATCCTTTGTTATGAAGCATTAATATTTACCAGAATAAATGTTATTTGGGAAACAGCTACAAAGCTGCATTTAGTACATTTGTCAAAGAAAGCGAGGCCAGCGCCATTATACCTAAATCACACATAATAACAGGCCGCAAATATTGCAGATAAACTCTGTAAACATATTCTAACTAGCATTTGAGTATGTAGTAATGTATGACTAACTATCCACTGGGGAAAATGGATTGAAAAACAAAAGTGGGAATAGGCCAAAAAAAGGCAAACCTTGGTGACATTATATACTGAAAAAGCAGATTATGTGGTACATGTCAAACAATACACTTAGTAAGTGCATCTTTAACCACCTAAGGACTTGCTATGGCATACAGTATGGTATACATTGTTTAAAGCAGTATGAAACCCAAAACAAAAAATATGAAGAGTCTTCAAAAGGTTTCTGCAATTTTATATCTATACTAATGTTTGAAAAAATTAGGAAACTTTTTGAAGAACTCTTGTATAATATATTGCAGCTTAGTAATCATTAAACGTATTGCCTGAATTAATTTTATTTTCTTTGGCTTCCCTCCCCTCTGTTTTCACCTGGTGATCTGGTAAGTAACACACCTCCTGTATTAGAATGCCTCCACTCTAGATGTTGGAGCACAGGGGGTACCTTTGGACAGCAGCATTGTCAGTCTGGGGTGAGGTGAGTGTTAGGTGTACTAATGAATTTAACTACACTAACAAATTGAAGGCAAACTCAAGTTAACAAATTATAAGCAGTTACAGCAAACCATTTATTTTCTTGTGGGATAAAGGCTTTACATAGCAGCACAGTGGCTAAATGGTTAGCACTTCCGCCTGGCAGTACTAGGGTCGTTGGTTCGAATCCCAGCCACGGCACCTCCTGCCTGGAGTTTGCATGTTCTCCCTGTGCCTGCGTGGGTTTCCTCCCACACTCCAAAACATGCTGGTAGGTTATTTGGATCCTGTCTAAATTGTCCCTAGTATGTGTATGTATGAATATGAGTTAGGGACCTTAGATTGTACACCCCTTGAGGGTTAGGGACTGATGTGAATGTACAATATATATGTAAAGCACTGCGTAAATTGACAACGCTATATAAGTACCTGAAATAAATAAGTAAAAGCTGATCATTGTAGGCACCCCTGCTAGTGTTCAATGGGTTGTCTCATCCCTGTAACTGATACATTGGAAGGGCAGCTTGTTCTTTTGAAAAACAACAGACTTACTGGCTTGATCACCAAGTGCAAATAGAAGAAAGAAAGCCTAAAAAAGAATACTAAAACAGCCATAACATCTAAGAATTGGTAAGTTGAAATATATTAAATGTTTTCTTTTGGGTTTAATACTACTTGAAGGATTTTCAGTTAACCCTTCAGGATATTTATGGAACATCCATCCTCTGCCTTCAAGCAGAGGTTCTCTCTAAACCACCAACATGAACACTCACAGACCTATTGCTTATCGCCAGACATTTCTGGGACACTGTGTTTAGGAGCCGCATTAACCACTTATCAAGATCTTATCAAGATAAAACTTTACACTCTCAATTGGCAACAGAAGTAATGCATTACATACTCAGCCTACCCCTGTGCAGAGCTTTCCCTGCTTTGGATTCTGACCTTTAAGAAAAGTTGGTAACACTCACCACTATCTGAGTGGCAGACAGTACCAGGCAGGAATGTAATAGAGTGTACAATATAGCAGCTTTTTCCAAAGAGGTAAATTTCTTTAGTTTCTAGTTAGTAGCATAGATTTAGCAAAACAGACAATAAACAGCAGTAAAAAGCGGGGTTTAAAAAAAACTTACCAGTTCAGTTCCCTACCACTCTATACCCGAAGGACGGCTACAGTGCGGTTGTCTGGTTCTGGGACAACGTCCATGGATGTAATTCCAGAACACGCCCCCCCTACGGACACAGCTGATCAAAAGATACGGTATATGGTCAATCATGACGGCCTTTTACCACGTGATCAGCCGTGTCCAATGACACAGTAGATCACCGGGTAAATGCACTTTCCTCACGCTTTCACAGCAGGAGGAAAGTACTGCCGATAACCGGCAATTGTCAGAGAAGTGATCAGTACTGATCATCAGGGCTCTGATGAGCAGTGCCGCCGACCTGTGCCACCCACCTATGCCCAGCAGCACCCTTACCACCAGAGTTAAGGAATATGAACCAAGGTTCAGAGCTTTAGAGGTATGAAAGTTTGGTTTCAATTCAATATTCAGGCCTTGGTTTAAGACAGGTTTTTTACATCACGACTTCACTAGGAGTCTTTTGAAGAGTCTGATAAAGGAGGTTTTATGAGATTTCTGCATTCTATTTAACGTCTGCTGTTTTGAGTCAAATTGTGTATTAAAGCGGACTGTGTTTTACCAAAGATGCTCTGTCAAATGTGTCACCTTCTCTGGCTGCTCACCACAGACATGATATATAAAATGACCATTTTTGTTTCCGATTTGTGAATTTTGGAGATATGAGAGAGTTGCACTTCCTTGTTCAATATTCCTTCCACAAAGTTTGGCAATTGTCAGACATTATTATCATTACAGTCACAAGAACTAACTTTACCAAGAACTAACTTTACCAGGTACTCGCTCCCACTCCTGCTGCGATCGCCTAGGCGATCGGAAGTGGAAGTTGTCCCCCCCTCCCTGAAGTCTTCTCGGTCATGTGACAGGTTCCAGAAGACTACCAGACCTTTCACAAGGCGCAGCTCTACGCGCACATGAGCAGTGGGCACCCATCTGTGAAGCCACAAGCTGTCACAGCCGGGTGCCCACACTTAAGATGCCAGCCAATTAGTTAGCGAACATATACAAATGCCAATATATAAAAAAACAAGTATTGAGTTAAAAAATGGTTAAAGCAAAGATGTATGGTCTTTCTTTTGAAGTCTTTGAACCTCTGAAATGAGTAGTCCGCTGTATCTGACTACTGTCACTGGGACAGAAAGTGATAGAAGTTAAAATTTAAAAAAAAAAAAAAAAAAAAACACAGTTCGCATCCAAGCAGGATGTGGGAAAGAATCTTCCAATAGGATCACCCGTGCTAAGAGGGGACTTCTCAACAATTTGAAAAGATTTTCTCTTCCTTCCTATTGTCTCTGGAACAGGAAGTCAGATAAAGTCTGTTAAAGGCGACACATACATTGAGCAAAAAAATCATATAGGCTTTAAACCTTCCACAATCTATTCAAAAGTATTAAAAAAAAAAAAAAATCTTTTTTGGTGTAACTACACTTAGAAAAAAAAAAAAAAAGCAGCTGCGCTATCATCATAACAGAGCTTTTTCCTGCCTGCACTATTTCCATGGCATCCAGATACTGTACTAAAAAGCTCTGGACACAGGCTAGCACAAGCATTTAAACATTTACTAGAAGTGGAAATATTTAAACCGCCCTCGGCATAGTACTAAACATATGTAATTTGTTTCAGAATCCAGACACTTGCAAGATGTAAACCAAGGGTGTCCAACCTTTTGACTTTCCTGGGCCATATGGAAGAAGAGGAATTGTCTTGGGCTACACATAAAATACACTCACAATAAGGATAGTTGAAGACTAGAAAAAGTCAGGCAGATCAAGTTAACAATCACTGATGTAGATAATGTACCTGAGTAATAAAACTCAATTTTTGGTGATATTTATTATTGTAAAAGAAGGAACATAAAACTAGTACGATATTTGACACCGTTTTTGATAAACTAACACATCAGTATCTGGTTGGATGGATGTAGTAGCAATTCTCAATGAACTCTCAAGGTTCTCATTAGATATTTTGGTTCTAATTATGCCCTTCGTGTGCTTTGTCTTTGATATTAATTGCTCACAATTATTGGTTCTGGTGAAAATTGATGACATGAGTAAGGCATGATGGTAAAGAGTGGGAGATTTTTCTTTGGGAAGATAAAACTTATAAAGTCCAGTAAAGAGACACTGTCAAATTTTTCTTCAGCCGCATGTGTTCACATTTTTACAAAAAGTATGCCTAAAAATTCAACATTTTTACCTAAGTTTGCGGCTTTGTGTTGGACTGCATTCATAGCGGTCTTTGGCCAAATGCGGCCCGTGGGCCGCAGGTTGGACACCCCTGATATAAACAAACAGCAGCAATGTAAAAAGATTAAACATAACTTTATATATTACGACAAAGCAGATCAGTCCCACAATAACGGACTGCTGGTGAGAAATGGGAAGATAGTAATTCTTAGAGAGTAAGGGTATATGCAGCTGCCTTCAGAAGCTGCAGATTATCATTTTGTCTAAGAATGACTCTCTCTTCTTGAGTCCCTCAATAGACTTCAAAACAATTTACGTCAAGTACAAAATTCTTTTTTGCACACACAGGAATGGTAATCTAGATTATGCGTACAGGTGGAGATGGGTGGGGCAAGGCAGCAGAATACACACACTAGGACTGTAAAGACCACAGTGCAGACAGAGCACAGCAAACAACCAGCTCTCAGATACCAGCCTACCTTTAGCTGGTCCATGTATGGCCGCTGTATCTGTTAAAATGAGACAGTTATTGTGCACGACGAAAATTGAAGCTTCAAAAGTGATGCAATATGAAGGCCCTGTAAAATGTATTATATGTTGTCCTACCAGCTCATCAAGTTTTATATTTAAGGAAACCTACACAGTGCGAAATGCAGGGTGCCATTATTGACTTCTTCCAAAAATGCTATTTATGTGGCTGGTTTTCTAAGCCAATAGTTTGAATATTTATAATAGGTGTGCAGATGAGTATGTTCTAACGCCTTAAGGTTTTTCACCTTAATACATTCTATGCATTCTGTGCTGCAAAATCCCCCTTATTATACTTACCGGAGCCCAATCCGATCCAACGATGTGCACGAGAGCAGCGGTGCTGCTGTCAATAAAATGCTGTGCCGAGCAAGTGGGGGTGGGGTCGACCGGCCTGCTCCGTATCAATAGATGCAGGCAGAGCGGCTCAGGAGTGAGCATACACAGGTGCCACCATGGAAAGCTAATTTCCATGGGGGCACTTGCCTAAGAGGAGGAGCCTGGAGCGCTGCTGGGAACCCCAGAAGATGACGATCAGGGCTGCTCTGTGCAAAACCATTACACAGAGCAGGTAAGTATAACATGTTTGTTATTTTAATAAAAAAAAAAAAACCCACAAAAAAACTTTAATGTCACTTTAATGCTTATTCTGCGTGTCAAAACACACAAACCAGAGAAGGTAAGACAACTAGCATTTTCAGGAAGTCAGCAATGACAGCATCAATATTTCTCAGCACAGTTTTCTTTAACCCTTTCCAGAACAAGGGGTTATTGATTCCTAGGTGGCAAGCCAAATTTAGCGGTGTCAGCATGTGTCTGTTATCTTAACCCCTTGGGACCGGCGCCTCCCACCCCTTCAAGCGGTTTATGACGCCGGGAGGCGGGCAGGGTATAGGGTCATGTGACCGCTGTGATTGGCTCTCACAGTGGTCACATGATTGGAAGCTTTTCATGAGGTGCCGGTAACTGTACCGGGAGCACTCAGGGCACTCACTCTCGGCACATTTGTTTACGCAATCATTGGGTATGCAAACATGCGGCCTTTCAGCATCAAGGCCAAGTCTCCGAAAGGTCGCATATTTGCATACCGCCTGTGGCAAGAAGTTTATAAACACCTCTGGCTAATTTGCATACCTAAATAAAAAATGTATATATTTTTTTTAAAATGATATCCTTTCTACTACACAGATTTGTTTTTTTTTTTTTTTCATTCCCCGCCCTCTTTTAATAGACTGACTAATGTACTTTTTCTTTTTTCTATTTTGTAATAGTTATTTTAGTTCAGAAAGTTGCACTATTAAATAAATGGCACATCATCAAAAGGAGATTCTGTCAATGGCATATGGGATTAAAGAATAACTTCACATTTCTAAAAAAAAATAATAAATGCACATTATTTTGCAGGTTAAAAAAAAATATTTTTTTTGTTTTTTTTTTTTAGGAGCCTGTAAAGCATTGCATCAGCAGGTCGCAGGTGCAATCTCAGACTCCTGTAGACTGTCAGTGTATTTGTTTGCTTGCACCTTGCAGGCAGTTACACAATGACGGGAGGACTCAATGAACTACATGGAGTGCTAACTATTACCCTGGTAGTTCATTGAGAACTACAAGCCATCAGCCACAAGGGCTGTTAGTACTTTTACTTCATTCTTTCCCAGATCTCTGTGAATGAATGGCACGTCCGTGTGGGTGTTCTTTTCAAATTGTGACAGCAGATGTTGGGAGAAGATTCCAAGCCCGATGTCACAATGTTGGAGGGAGGATTTTGTAGCATGCTCGCAAAGGTGAACATATCATTTAAGTTTAAGCAGCTGTGCAAAGTGTCATCTGCTGGCTTCTAAATGGAAGGACGTTTATTAAGGTTTTCCCAGCCATTAGGCATTGTGCTGGGGAACAATGGTTTGCAGGAAGGGGTTTAAGAAGGACAGAAGTAGAGAGACACAATTTCTGTGTTTAGAGGTCACATAGGTCTGTTGTGGGATGATTTACAGCTCAAGATCAAAGTCAAGAAAGGCTTTAAATACACTTTATTACAGAGTACAATTCCACGTGTGCCCCCATCATCTACCACCTATGTGTGGCAGCTGAAGCATGAAGAGGAACAAGGAACAGAATAGGTCATACAACCATTATCAAATGTCATTCCTCTGCCTAAAGTATACGATTGTTAGAAGTAAAGAGTTTGTGTTTTTCAAAGCAACTAGTCAAATAACAATTGCCATTTCTGAAACACAGAAAATGAAATGAACAGACACTTTCTTTTCAGTTTTAGGTTTCTTTCAGACAGGCGCTGCCGCCCGTCCTGCGTGCATGAGCAATTTATTTTTAGGTCTGCATCTGCCCAAGCTGCATGCAGACAGCAAATGCAGGTGGATGCATGGACATACCAAATGTCAAAATTTGACAGGCGAGCATGGGTAGGTGCATGGACCCAAATGCAGACACCATGTATGTTCAAGTTTGTGCACCTGCTTCTGCAATGGTGTTTAAATTTTGCCATGGCATCACAGCCCCGTCATGTGTACAGGCATGAGCGGCTGCATATTAAGTGTTCAGGGAGCTGTAAAACTGTGGCTCAACCGCCTGGAGTTCATCTCTCCCTTCTGACCTCATATGTGTGTGTTTGGGGGGGGGGGGGCAGTCATTGCCTACAGATCCCCTTTTTTTTTTTTTTAATTGCAGCCGCTCAGCATGGTAAGACAGAACTTACAGCAGAACTCCCATGGACTCCCTGTGCCCGCACTGCATGGGTTATGTTCTCGTTTTGTCCATGGGCTCAGTTATAAGCTGCACTTACCCATTCCTCCGATCCTCCGGAAAACCACGCTCCCCCATGTCCAGCGGTGGACTGTTCTTGCCGTCAATTCTGGAGCTGGTCAATGGGCGTGATGACGTCAGGAACAGCCCATTCAAAAGACTGCTAGCGTGTGTGTGTTTTGGGGGGGGGCGCAAGAGTGGCAGGGACCGGTCTTACACTCGGAGGATTGGCAGATCAGGTAAGCATATCTTTGCTTTCCGAGCCCTATAGAAAAACGAGCATTTAACCCAAGCAGTGCAGGCACAGCCCCACTGCATGGGAAAATAATAATTTTGCCAGAAATTATTCTTTAAGAACTATTATAACTAATCACAAAAAGAGGTTTTCATTCTTTTCTCTCTGCAAAGGCGTAAGAGTAAAGCTGGCTATACATGTTTTTTTTTAGCCATAAACAAGGAAGATGAAGGAATTTAACTTCCCCAAGCCATGATACTGTATTCTGACAGTGGGACTGCCTGCAACCAATTGGCTGCAGCTGCTGATCAACAAAAGTTTTCCAGTATGTGCCTTTGTCAGAGGTATATCAAATGATTGACTTCTGTCAGGTGGGAAGAGTCACACACTGATTGGAATTTGGGCGATCACAGCTAAACCAGCCGAATCTCGATCAGTGTATGGCCAGCAGTAATCTAATCTTTCCAGCTACAATATTTTGCTGGGATACGAAAGGTTGTGGCAGCGTCACCAGGGTGATAGATAATTGAAATATGTAAATGTGGCAGTCAGCAGATGTAACCCTAACCTTAAAGATCATAGTTACTGTAAATGAAATGGAGATATAGGAATTTGAACATCCAGAAAGGGTACTTAGAAGACTAAATTACCACTAGGTAGAGTTGGCTTGGCCTTTTTGGCTGGAGTGATGTCCTCTTGTCTGGATTCAGAGAATGATGCCGTTCTGCTGGGTGCAGGAGTCTACAAAACAAAACTTAGCTTTTAGAAAAATACCTAGATAATATCAACAGCTGCTTAGGGAGAGTCCAGACAAATATTTTTTTTCAGACACAATGGGGGAGATTTACTGAAACCTGGAGCACTCGGAATCTGGAACAGCTGTGCATGGAAGTCAAATCAGCTTCTAACTTCAGATTGGTCAATAAAAGTTTTAACAAAAAAACCTGGAAGCCGATTGGTTTCTACGAAGAGCTTAACCAGATTTTGCACGCTCCCATTTTAGCAAATCTCCCCCAAAATCTAAGCCTGATACATAGCACCTTATGTATTGATCAAGTATAAATCATTAATAAGAGCAGTAATATAAGCACATATTACTTTTTTAATGGGCTGCAACTACTTTTTAGTCTTGACATTTGTAAATGTACTTTTAAACATTTATGAAAGAGTCTAGTTTAATTCTGTTTACATATGCGACAACCTATGACAGTTTTCAACCATCTGCTTTTATATCTGAACAGAAAATCTAAGCTGGACCAATTAGGTAAGTATTTGCATAGATAAACTAAGGGCACTGCTAGACAGCATCCTAGTTCAAACATTTTATGATTAGAGCAAGAAGTCCTGCATCCAAAAATGCAATATTTTATAATTAAAATATTAAAAGGAATAATTTTTTTTTAAACTTGTCAAATGTTTTGGTTGCTTCTGTGCTACTAAAAAAATAAAATCCACTTGGAGCAATGCAATACTACTACTATCTGTTGGTCTAGTAATGTGACCAACTACCAGAGCACTGGTCAAATGACCTCAGCCTATAGGATTTAGGGAAGTGATGTTCCAGTCATAGGTTCTTGACTGAACACTGATCCTTCCCTTGAACAGAGATTAAATTATAAACTCACTAATAATCACTATTTTGGCACGAGACTGGCATTGGTAAAAATATTTAAAGGATTCTTAACCCCTTTGCGCCGGCGCCTCCCGGCCCTTTAAGAGTTTCAGAAGCCGGACAGGGTTTTAGGGTCATGTGACCACCGTGATTCGCTGTTACAGTGGTCACATGATCGGAAAAGGTACCAATAGCAAGGGGAGATTGGGACCTTTCCGTGAGTCACGGACATATGTGCTGGGAGCGCGCAGGATGTGCACTCTAAGCACATATGTATTTTCTAATGGCACACAAATATGCGGCTGCTCAGCGTCAAGGCCCAGACGCGAGAGGCCGCATATTTGCATGCGCTTGGTGTCTAGGGGTTAAAGAAAAGGCATTTCTGACCCACCTAGACCTTATGGAATTAAAAATTAAACGGAGTATAGATTTAAATATTTGCCATGAAAATACCTTTTGACCATTACTATCATGTCAAGCTTTTGTTTGGAATAATTGTTAAAACCTAATGTTAAAAAGGTAAGTGCCAATTTTTAAGTAAAAATAAAAGAAAAAGGTGCACCAACAACAACAAATAAATATCCTGGGCACCCCTCTGAACCCTGCTGCTTAAAGAGGATATGATGGCCCATGAGGCTGGTATAGCAGTCCATGCACCATACACTTCAGTACACCCCCTCCAGAGTGAGTACCCATCATAATGCTTGCAATGACAATTGCTCATTGGTCAGCTCAACCACATGACCACACTGACGAATGAGAACCACTTCTTTCTTCTGGGACACCTTACTGGAAGAAGAAGCCTAACATGCACTTCTCACTGGTTAGCACAGTCACATGGCTGAACTGACCAATAAATGTTTGCCCATGCAAGTATTATGATGGATTCTCACTCCGGGGCTGTGAATTTCAGTGTATGGACTGCTACACAAGCAGCACAGAAAATCACAGCTGCTATGTGCAGCAGGGTCCTGAGGGAAGGCCAGGATATATGGAGTTCACCTTTTAATTTTTTGTGAAAAGGTGAACATACCTTTTAATGGAACTACTGATATAAAGGCCGTGGACAGAGTCCAAAATAGGTCTGATTTCCAAAATATTTAAGTAGATGTGTGTATCTAACATGTGAAAGCCTGGTTGCAGTGCTTTCATCTGTGTACTGGTGCACAGAAACACACTTTTAGGGCTTGTTCACTTTGTGCATAATTTAGCATGCAGGAAGCATCCATTTTGGCTGGCGTTTTGGTTGGTGATGCCTTGCCTTTGTAAAGTGTAGAAGATGATTTACTGTTGTTTTTTCTTGATCGTTACTGAAATGTTACTAGAGGAATTCAAACCGTCCGCATGCATTATAGCTTGGCTTTGGAGCGTAGAAATGCAGGGAGAAATGGAGCTGAGTGAGCTGCAGTTTGGTACAGAAAAATGCTGACATGTTGCAGATTTCTGCACCACAATGCAGCTCACCCGAAGGCTGCATTCAAGTGTGAACAAAGTATTCTATATTCCTTGTCAAAGACTGTACAGTGCAGAAAACTGCATGTCTGTACAGGTGTGAACAAACCCTTAGCCACATTTTTTACAAAGCCAACAGCACCCTGGAGGTGCATCAAACTGTATTTGTAGCACCAGTTTATCTCACTTACTGAAGAGCTGCCACTGGCATTCAGCAGAAAGTTTGCAGTATGTGCTGCAGTGGGAGGCTGGTTTGGGATTGGTCGGTGGCCCAGTGCCATGCCCACAATGGCTGTCATGTGAGTCTCTGTGCCAAACACATGGATGGGAATTCCAGTAGTTTTTCCTGTGGGAGACAAAAAGAAAAAAATGATAGATATCAGCAAAAGGGGAAATTAAGCCACAATTTCTATCAGCGCATGGCCAGCTTTATATACTCTTCACAAAAGGTGACTTGTGCTGGGTTCAATTAAACTGTAACGAAAAAAAAAAAAAAGACACGTAACGGTGTAGAATTTAAGGGGACTGGTCAGACTACAGGTAGAAATATTACCAGGCCACACCACCTGGTGAAGTCTTTCACATTGAAATGCGCAGGGCGAGCTATCAGGTATGACGTCATCATGCACATTCCACCAAAAGTGATGGATGGCTCTACTGATTGGATGATTGTAAAATGTGGTACTGTTGTATTTTAAATGTTTCGCAAATGTGAGTCTCCTTTATGTGGTATTGTTTGCGGGGAAATATGAAAAAGATTCCATGATGCATAGAAGTCGGCACCTCTGAGGAGAATTTAACCCCATATGCACTGTCTGACCATTTATTTTACAGTGGTCAAATACATCTGGTAAGGATCCTGTCTGGCACATGGTGTGGAGCATGAATTATTGGGTGTTTTCTTCCATTTATTCACCCTCCCAGAAGAGTGGAATTGTTGGATACAATTTTGAAGCTTAACTAGTAGCCGACCGCAGATAGCCGAATGACGGCTGCACTGCGGCCGGCCAGTTCTGAGTGGACGTCATATGACGTCCCACCAGAACGCGCTCTCCTGCGTGCCCCAGGGGGCACGTACCCGGCGATCTCCGTGATCGCTGTGTCCTACAGACACAGCTGATCACGTGATGTGGTAAAAGGCCAATCCCAGCGGCCTTTTACCACCTGATCAGCGGTGTCCAATGACACGCTGATCAGAGGGAAATGCAAGTGCCGGTTCTCGGCTGCACTTTCCTCACGCTGTCAGATCGTAAGGAAAGTACTGCCGAGAACTGGCAGTTGTCAGAGTGAGGATCGGCACCGATCATCAGGGCACTGATGATCAGTGCCCTGATGATCAGTGCCCAGCAGTGCCACCCGCAAGTTCCGCCCACCTGTGCCCAGCAGTGCATCCACCTGTGCCACTCTGCAGTGCACCTACCTGTGCCCAGCAGTGCCACCCACCTGTGCCCACCAGTGCCACCCACCTGTGCCCACCAGTGCCACCCACCTGTGCCCACCAGTGCCACCAGTGCTGCCCACCAGTGCCACCCACCAGTGCAGCCCAGCAGTGCTGCCCAGTCAGTGCTGCACCAGTCAGTGCCCAGCGGTTGTGCCAGTCAGTGCCCAGCAGTGATGCCAGTCAGTGCCGTCTATCAGTACCCATCATCAGTGTCACCTATCAGTGCCGCCTATCAGTGCTGCATATTAGTGCCGCCTATCCGTGACACCTCATTAGTGCTGTCTATCAGTGCCGCCTATCCGTGCCACCTCAGTACTGCCTGACAGTGCCCTTTAGTGCTGCCTATCAGTGCCCATCAGTGCCGTCTATCAGTGCCCATCAGTGCTGCCTTATCAACGCACATCAGTGAAGGAGAAAAATTACCTGTTTGACAAATTTTATAATAGAAACAAAGAAACTTTTTTTTTTTTTCAAATTTTTTGCACCTTTTTTATTTATAGCGCAAAAAGTAAAGTGCCCAGTGGCGATTAAATACCACCAAAAGAAAGCTCTATTTGTGAGAAAAAAATGATCAAAATTTCATATGGGTACAATGTTGCATGACCGCGCAATTGTCAAAGTGCGGCAGCGCTGAAAGCTGAAAATTGGCCTGGTAAATAAGGGGGTATAAGTGCCTGGTAGACAAGTGGTTAACTATCATTCACATTTCTTGGTTTATGGACTTGATATATAGGGAATAATACACGTATGTTACCGTGATGTTAATACACGGATATTGATTTTTGGCAATGCTGCACTTGTTGTTAACAAAAATATTACCCACTCACCTACTTCACCCATGACGCGAAGCCCCTCCTGATAGTTTGGTCCCCCTCGCCTCACAAATATTGTGACTTCATGTTCCTTCAGTGGTCCTTGGCAATCCTTAATAGCTCTTACAATACCCTGGTGTTCAAAAAAGAGATCAATATTGGTTTGAGTCAAAAGATGTCTGTCTAATTTTTCTGTAAATCTCATTTCTCAAACCTCACCTTAAAGGTTGCAGCAACATTAGTGAAATTTGCAATACTGCCCCCTATAATCAGAATTTTACCTAGAGAGAAAAATCAAACACAATTACAAGAATGAATCAATATGAGGAAGCAAAAACGTTTGCTAAAATTCTCATTGTATGCTCTCTTCACAATATGAACTATTGGGAACTAAAATAATTAAAGATCTCACCAAGTCCCAAATTTGGAAGAATCGAACATAAAGCAAGTGTAATTTTTAAGTGCAGATTAAAAAAATGAAAAGTAAAAGAAAAAAAAAAAAAAAGATGTGATAGGCAATTATTTTCAACTTACCAATTGTATTCTGTGCCAGATTTAGGGCCTTGGTTAGTCTGTTTTGTTGGGATTTGATCTACTCACCACCGGCCTGGGTCCCGGAGCGCAGGAGAAATTGCATTTAGTACATGCAAAACTATACATGACTAATGCTGGGTACACACTATCAGTTTGATCCCGTTCAGCCCAGCAGGGCAAGAGAAAAAAAAAAAAAATTTCGGGAGGAACTCACTTTACTATTTGATTTTAGTACAACAATCTCCCCGCTAAGCTATTGTGTTCTGACAAGGGGACTGGACCCCCCCTCCAGAACACACCAGTCATTAGCTGTCAGCACCAATCGGATGCTGTTTGTCCAGCATGCCTGTTCGGCCGAATGTTGGATGGTTTCTATTGAACCGGCCAACACCGGATGATATAATGTCAGCAGTTAGTAAATTTAAAGGCCAACTGAACCTTTACTAACATGTTACACCCATATTTCGGGTGTAACATGTTGCTAAGCATCCCCCTTCTCTCAGTGTGTGGGGCTCCATTATTATACCTTGCAGCCACTGTCACTTTTAAAATTGGTGCAGCTGTGTGTGGCTCCACCCACACAACTGGGTCATTCATCTGTGAATGAATAAACTACATGTCCCATCTGCCACCATGGACACAAGTGAGGTAATCAGCGCACTTGTAGTCCACTGACACTTCCTTCTCTAACTGCAAGGCATACATGGGTACAAGCAGAGAGCTAGAAGAAGAGTTTTCAGGAGCCTTGCATTGCATGCATGATCGGAGGTGCAATTATTTTTAGGCTCCTTTGGAAAGGATAAATTAAATGCACATTTTTTTTCCAGCAAAAATATGTGAATTTATCTTTTTCATAGCCTTAAAGGAGTATTTGGTATTTTAGTGCCACATGTCTTCATAGTGTCAGAGGCCTCTTTGGTATTTTTCTGCCACATCATATATGTTTTTAAGTATTTACCATCAGGATGCTTTTCCCTTGTCATAAGGGAGAGGATAGTCTTGGCATAGTCATATGTCTGCTGCTCACTGGGTGCCCCAGAATACTCCCCATAGTTGGCAAGCTCGTCTACTCCGCCCAAGTCACAGATGGTGTCACTAGGGAAAAAAAAGAAAATAATCTTCTATTCAATGACAGAGAGAACTCCACATAAAAATACCAGTGTGGTGACTGGAGACTTTATTCAAAAATTGAAAGTCCATACCTAAATCTTGTTTTAATGTTCTGCTAGTTTTGTCTGTATATTACACTTTGTCCTGCTAATTATATACTACCAATAAACAAGTGAGAATTAACTGCCCAACACAAAATATCGTTTTATAGTTCCTGACCACAAGCTTACAAAATGCACAATGGAGTTTACTTACTAGAACCGGAGAGTCCAAAATGTGGTGCAGCTGTGCATGGTAACCAATCAGCTTCTAAGTTCAGCTTATTCAATTAAAAACAATAGTAAACATCGTTAGGACAATTGCACCTACAAGTAAGCCTATAATAAAGTTTACCTGTAGGTACAAGGAAGATCTCCTAAACATGCACCATTTAGGAGATGTTCACTGTTTCTGACGCAAAGGGCATCACCGGCACATGCGTTCTAAAATTCTGTGCTGTCACCTTGACTCCAGTGCGCATGCTGGAGCATGCGAACCCAGAAGGAAGACTGGGTGAAAATGGAAGCCATGTCAGTGGTGATAGAGTGCCACTGGAGGGCTTCATCTTAAAGTGAAACTTCGCTCTCTCAATCAACATTCACCATTTTAAATCCTTATGCTGCTAGCATTAGTAAATAGATAGGAAATTATATCATGTTTACTTGTTTTAATTTTTTTTTTACATCTCTTCAGTTTCTTCCTGGTTTTCATGCCTAGGCAAATTATGTCATATATCCCAGTTGTCTTCAGAAGGGGTTTTCTCAGCTAAAAACACCCTTCTGCCTGCTTGCCACAGCTAAGGGCAGATGGATTCCAGGAAGTAAATGCTACACGAATCATCTGCCCTTATTCAAGATGGCCATGGCCAGAAATGCTAGGGAGGTATTTTCCATATTGATTTCCCAACAAAATAAATACAATTGTTTTGAATATTAAAAATTAATTTAAAAGTATTTTTGGTTTGTGGTGCTCAAATGCGGTATAGTTTCACTTTAAGGTAACAGCTCGTTCACACGGATGTTCCGATCAGGTCCGCCTGCCTGTTTTTCAACACAGAACTCTGTGGAGCAGACATTTCCGTTTACACCCGCCGACATCCGATCCACCAAAAAGGGACGGATCCAATGCCCCTGCCATCCGTCGGATTAGATGAAAACGGACAGGCGGTCTGTTTTCAACCGACCACCAATTAAGGAGAGCGAGCAGCTCTGTGTCTCCTCTGCAGCAGCGGAACAGACAGAGAGCTATCATCCGCTTGCTTAGTGAGGATCAGCGGAGAGATACCCCGCTGAGCAAGTGGATCCGCTAAACAGGTCCGCTCCCTGTGAAAGGACCCCAAGTCTTTCATAATGTTAGTTTGCAATGCATATTACAGGCATCTATATAGCACCAACAATTTACACAGCATTTTACATACTGTACATTCACTTCAATCCCTGCATGCACACACCAACACACACACTAGGGCCAATTTAGACAAGTGCCAAATGAACCTACCAGCATGTCTCTGAAGTGTGGGAGGAACCTGGAGTACCCAGAGGAAACCCACGCAAGCAGAGAGAGAACAGGCAAAGAGTGAACTGGCTGGGATTTGAATGAAGGACCCAAGTGTTGCAAAGCTGACATGCTAAACACGAAGTCTTGTGTTGCCCACATTACTGGCATAAGGTGATGCTGGCTGTGAACTCCAGCACACCTGATTGGTTCCTACAGGAATTTAGTTGGCTGCTCTTGAACCTGGTATATAACTGATCAAACGGCACACATTGGGTAATTCTACCCAAAACAGATCTTTTCAGTTTGGAAGAATGTGATAGTTTGGTGCCTCACTAAGCCTTGACATTCTCCAGCTTCATAGGCATGCTTGGTATGTCATTCGCTGCAGTGAATTTTCCATTTATTCCTACGATTAGTCTGATAGAGTGTGAATGAGAAAGCATTTCTGCAGTCTCTAGTGACTTCCACAAATAAATGGGGACTATTTTCCCAGTCAGCAGAATGAGAAAACTTGAGCTTTACCTGTGGGTGGCAAGTCAAAGGTAAGGAAAGAACCCTCCGCCAGGGGCTGAAAGCTGGAATAGAAACTTACCTTACCTCATCCAAAAATGCCACGTACAGCATTCTTCTCAAGTTTTTCAATAGCTATTATCTATATCAGCATCTAAAAAGGTTTTCAATTCAGAATAAACATGTTTATATTATACTTGTCTGCAAACCTGTAAACAACAGACGCTCCTCCACCAGCAACCATAGTCCAGATCCTGCCTCGTGGGTTTAGGATGGTAAGTTTTAAACTTGCACCACTCTTGGCATCCAAGTCTGCAATATAGGCCTCCTGTAATAGCGAGGAACAGGTGTTTAAGTGAGATCAATCCTAATCCTAACCAAAATTAACAAGCAGTAACAGCTTAGAAAAACTAAACATTTTCAAATAAGTCCCATACTGTCAATGCAGTTAAAGCATGTTCTTAACCTCTTCTCATCCGGCCCATGTAGATAAACGGCCACGTGGGAGCTCTGCCAAAGCGGGTGGACGTTTCTAAACGTCCCCCCACATCCATTGCCTGTGCACGCTCCCTGGGAGCACGCGGCACTGCAATCGGTGCCTGCTGTGTCCTCCGGAGATACAGCAGAACACAGATCGCTGTACGGGACTTCTGTGTGAGGTCCTGATTCATGTGATCACCGATTTGCCAATCAGTGATCACATGAATAGTAGTAAGCAAGATGTAATTTCTGACATCATTGCTTACTACTTGTGAAATCTGTGAATGCTCACAGAGGTCACATAGTACAAGGCTATTTACACAACCTTGTACCATGTGACAAGCTGTGACCAATCACAGCTCTCACAGTATTTGTCAATGGCTGCAGGAATGCAGCCAGAGAGAAGGAGAAATTATTGCTTTTAAAGCCTTTATGGGTGTAAAAGCAATCAGTGTGAAAGAAGAAAAAAAAATCTTCACCACCCCCACAAGTAGTACAGTGTCACTAAGGAAAAATCATGTCTAAAGGGATGCAGACCCTGCCACTTTCCTCGCTAGAGCCCTGCAGGTGCAGCAACTCACTGTGCATGTGCAGAGTGATTCTGTGTGGGTGTGGTTTTATAGTCATCAAAGACAAACAGCTATTTCTTCAGAATAACAAAAGGTAGGAATCTGCAAAAAAAAGTTTGTTATAATCCCTGCAATGTGCATATTTCCTCAACAAAAGTGGAGTTACTCTTTAAAAAATGTAAGAAGTGGCATGGAAAGCTGTCATAATGGTTTTAGAAGGTATGCAACTTCCAGAGACTTACAAAATTGCCAGATGGTTTACCTCTCCATCATCTATAAAAAGCTGAAATGTAAGTTGTTGGTGGACAAACCCTTTAATCCCATAATGTGGTGTCAGATGCATGCCCACTCATGTCCTATAAAACTGCTGCACATTGGTATTGATCTGCTGTCAAGGCAAAGCTGAAACACACCCATGACAGAGAGAAATGCTCTCCGGAGAACATACACAGCCTTCAGCTCCAAAACTATACATCATATCTTGAAGACAAATGTCACAGCTTTAAGGATTTTGGTGTCATTTGATTTACGTACGGGCTGCAGATGACTTGCTCATAGACTTCATCACATTATAAACAATTTATAGAAGAGTTCATTCTACTACATTCTACTCATAAATCACCTTGAGGCAACCTTGAAGAGTCTGATCTCCAAGGAAAATCTTGTTAGGGTGATTTATTAAAACAAGGAAATTGAGTTACAGCAATGAGATGGGGGTTGGAGATACAAGCTTCCACAGAATCAGCTAATGGAATGACTGCGGCATACTCGGAACGCTCTATGAATGCATGCATGAAGACAAGAAATGCTTAGATTTACCTATTAATCCTGAACAGCATGTTTGTATACTAGGACAAAAGCTGCAATGGAAATGCTAATGTCTGCGCCTTACCTGGTCCATACCAGTAAATGATACTACAAGTTATATGCGGTTTATGACCTCATAGGTATCATCTTTTAGATTGTAAGCTCCAAGAGCAGGGTCCTCCTATTCCTTCTGTATTGAACCGTATTGTAATCATACTGTCCCCCATTATATTGGTAAAGTGGTCCTAAAATGATTTTAACCTTAATGTATTCCCTGCATTACTGTAAAAAATGTTTTACAGATTTTTACCCTCTCCTACCTCCCTAACTACTTACCTGAGCCCTCAACTGATCCAGTGTTGTGCACAGTTGGATCTCTTCTCTCCTCTCTTCCTTTTTACACAGGGACCTGGGCAGCCATTAGCTCCTGCTGCTGACACTCTAATGCTGTGAAAAGGAAGCAGGGGAGGAGCCAAGCCAGGCTGTTTGTGTCTCATAGACGCACGCATGGAGTGCGGCCCCCAACAGCAAGCAGCTTTCCATATGGGCACACAAGATCACCAGTGGGGGACCCCAGAAGAAGAGGTTTGGAGCCGCTCTGTGCAAAACAATTGCACACAGCAGGTGATTATAACGTTTATTATTTTAAATAAAAAAATGCTTGGCTTTAGCAACACTTTAAACACTTCCTGTCCGACCCATGTACATAAAGGGCCGGTCGGGAGCAGTGCAGGAGCAGGTTGCAGTTCATAAACGGCGCCCACATTTACAGCCTGTGCGAGCTCCCTGGGAGCGCACAGCACCGCGATCCAATGCTGTACGGGACCTCTGTGTGAGGTCCCGATCATATGATTACTGATTGGCCAATCAGTGATCACATGAATAGTAGTAAGCAAGATGTCACTTCCTGACATCATTGCTTACTACTAGTGAAATCTGTGAATGATCAGAGGTCACATGGTACAAAGCTATTCACAACAGCCTTATACTATGTGACAAGCTATGACCAATCACAGCTCTCACAGTATTTCTCAAGAATGCAGCCAGAGAGAAGGAGAAAATATTGCTTTTACAGCCTTTATGGGTGTAAAAGCAATCAGTGTAAAAAAAAATCTTCACCTCCCCCCACAAGTAGTACAGTGTCACTATGGTGACACTGTACTGCTAGGGTTATAGTATGGTAACAAGAACAAAAAAAAACACAAATAATATTATAAAAAAATAAAATGTAAACAATATTTTTGAAAAATTATAATTTTTGGTTATAAACGAATTAACTAATTTGGGTTATTTTTTTTTTTTTTACTAAAAAGATAACTGAATAAATTTTGGCCAAGATTTATGAAGAAAGATTATTTGCTAAAATTTATAAGAAAAACACTTTTTAAATTTTTTTTTGGACTTTTTCATTTATATAGCAAAAAAATTAAAATCCCAGTGGTGAATAAATACCACCAAAATAAAGTTTTATCTGTCTCAAAAAATGCTAAAAAATTCATAGGGGTACAGTGTTGCATGACCACGCAATTGTCATTCAAAGTGTGATAGCACTGAAAGCTGAAAATTGGCCTGGACAGGAAGGGGGTAAAAGTGTCTGGACTTGAAGTGGTTAAGCACTGTGAAAACTGTTGGCGCTATTTAAATATAGACTGCATGTCAATGAAACCTTTGTCATGGTGAAAATTGTATGTTCAGAAAAACCGTGTCCAAAGGAGAAACATTTTTGAGCCAGGAGTGGGGTCAACTGTCTTCAGTTACAGTAACAAACAGTTCCCAGACTTATCACCAGAGACGTTATAATGAATCTCAGGTTCTACATCTCTAGTATCCTTTCACATATATAATCTGCAAAGATCATTAGCAGCTTTTTAAAGAAGGGTGTGCACTCTAAAAATGGTCCTTAAACCATATAATTACTGTCCGCTCTAAAGAAATGTAGACCAATCTGGAAAAACCAAAAGGAAGACACTCATAAAGCAGATCCCACGTTTTTAGTCATCACTTCAAAAGCAAATTACCTTATGTATAAAAATGCAATAAAAATTTGTGCTGCCTTTTAAAAAAAAATGATAAAAAAAATGCAGCATTTCAAATATATACAGTAAATCACACAAATGTGTCATCAATGGTAGCTATGCCCTTTGTGGGGTGAAACATATGGGAAGCGAGGTGAACAGGCAAGATTATATGTTGCGAGGTCCGGAGGGTGGGAACTGCCATAGTGATAGCTTAAAAAAAAAAAAATGATGTCTGAATCTATAACATCATTGGTGTGCAGAAAGTTCCCTTTTCTTCTTGTGAATCCTTTTTTTATTATATTAAAAGAAGTAGGGCCAAATCTGTTTTGGCTATACTTCTATGGGTCACAGGAGTGCACTTCATTGTGCACTCCTGTGACCCGTTTTCAGATGACAATGGGGTAAAGCCCGCTGTTGGCTGACGTCACAGGGCTGGTCCAGACTCTGGGTGGATCCCAACTGTAAAGTCAGGATCTGTTCAGATGCCTAGGCCCACAGCTGGCACAGCCTCTTACCAAGTCCCTAACAGTCTGAGCCAGCGGCTCCCATCCCCTTCAGAGCCCCACTCTGCAGTGAGCACTGAAGGGGAAGAGCCCTCTGCTAACTGAAGACCAAGAACTGAGCGATCGGTGATCTAGGATTGCTCAGTTCTCAGTCTTAGAGCTGGCGGTGGACAGGTATAGCATTGGATAGATGCTGAATCCACCTAGGTGAGTGTGATTGTTTTTTTTAATATCCTGAACTTCTCTTCTAAACCCTGGTTCACACCGGTGTGACTTCAGGTGCAACATGCAGTTTACAAATCGCACCTGAAGTCATAGTTAATGTATTTCTATGGCACTGTTTTAATCAGTGCAATGTGAAGTAGCACAATTTCAAAAATAGTTCCTCCACTACTTTTTTCCCAATTTCATTGCGACTTGCATTGACTTGTTAAATGAAGGTGCAAACTACAGTGAAATCGAAGGTACAAATCGCACTGGTTTGCATCTTTGAAATTGCGCCACTTCAAGTAAAGTAGCATGATTTTAAAGTCGGATTCAGTGTGAACCAGGGCTTAAGCCGGTTTGACATCGGTGACAGCATCAGTGTGTGGCCTGATCATTTCTACTGTACAACCTATGAAAAAAATATATAATGATACAGCGCAAACCCCTATACACCTACAAATTATACAAAGTGACTAATACTATATTTCCACGTCTATACTCAAATGTGTAAAATGCTTTCCAGAGAGTTTGCATAGGATGTGGGACTGAATGCACTGGAGTAGATTATGCAAGTGATAAAGAAGCATTGTTTGTAAGAAAAACAGAGACTTTACATTACTGGACTATGTCATACTGTCACTTGGTTTTATTGTCACAATTTATGAATGTAATTGGTTATGGTTGTAGGGGGAAAACACAATATATCATCATTTTGCACAAACAAGTATAGCATTGGGAGTCTAACATTGGTCACATCTATAGAATTGTGTTGTTGAATACGGAGGTGCGTTGTATCATTATATATATATATTTTTTTACTTCTCATGTATATTGTAGCAGGACCTCCATCTACACAGACCATGGCACATATGAAAAAAGGAACAGAGACACATTCCTAAAGTTTCAGATGTTCTGGGGGGGCACAATTCCACCCCTGTACTGTCTGCAGTCTCTTGGTCATCCCTTGTACTGTCCGCAGTCTCTGGTCATCTCCTGTAGTACTGTCCGCAGTCTCTGGTCATCTCCTGTACAGTGTCCGCAGTCTCTAGTCATCTCCTGTACTACGTCCGCAGTCTCTGGTCATCTCCTGTACAGTGTCTGCAGTCTCTAGTCATCTCCTGTAGTACGTCCGCAGTCTCTGGTCATCTCCTGTAGTACATCCGCAGTCTCTGGTCATCTCCTGTAGTACGTCCGCAGTCTCTGGTCATCTCCTGTACAGTGTCTGCAGTCTCTGGTCATCTCCTGTAGTACGTCCGCAGTCTCTGGTCATCTCCTGTACGTCCGCAGTCTCTGGTCATCTCCTGTAGTACGTCCGCAGTCTCTGGTCATCTCCTGTAGTACGTCCGCAGTCTCTGGTCATCTCCTGTAGTACGTCCGCAGTCTCTGGTCATCTCCTGTACTGTCTGCAGTCTCTGGTCATCTCCTGTACTGTCCACAGTCTCTGGTCATCCCCTATACTGTCCGCAGTCTCTTGGTCATCCCCTATACTGTCTGCAGTCTCTGGTCATCTCCTGTATACGTCCGCAGTCTCTGGTCATCTCCTGTAGTACGTCCGCAGTCTCTGGTCATCTCCGGTACAGTGTCCGCAGTCTCTGGTCATCTCCTGTACAGTACGTCCACAGTCTCTGGTCATCTCCTGGAGTACGTCCGCAGTCTCTGGTCATCTCCTGTAGTACGTCCGCAGTCTTTGGTCATCTCCTGTAGTACATCTACAGTCTCTGGTCATCTCCTGTAGTACGTCCACAGTCTCTGGTCATCTCCTGTACTATGTCCGCAGTCTCTGGTCATCTCATGTACTGTGTCCGCAGTGACTGGTCATCTCCTGTAGTACGTCCGCAGTCTCTGGTCATCTCCTGTAGTACGTCTGCAGTCTCTGGTCATCTCCTGTAGTACGTTTGCAGTCTCTGGTCATCTCCTGTAGTACGTCCGCAGTCTCTGGTCATCTCCTGTAGTACGTCCGCAGTCTCTGGTCATCTCCTGTAGTACGTCCGCAGTCTCTGGTCATCTCCTGTACTATGTTCGCAGTCTCTGGTCATCTCCTGTAGTACGTCCGCAGTCTCTGGTCATCTCCTGTACTATGTTCGCAGTCTCTGGTCATCTCATGTACTGTGTCCGCAGTGTCTGGTCATTTCCTGTACTATGCCTGCAGTCCATTGGTTCAGAATATTTTTTTTCTTGTTTTCCACCTCTAAAACATAGGTGCATCTTATGGTCAGGTGAGTCTTATGGAGCTCAAAATATATGGTACTTACGTATTGACAACCAGTGACAGCTACCACAAGAATGAAATATGGTGAAACAGCTTGTATGGAATTGTGTTTGTACCAGTGAAGATTAGGAAAAGAGAACTAGATATTGGCAATGAAGCTGGGAGGACAATACAGTAATTTTAACAAGAACAGATGTCACTGTCACTATAACATATTGTGGAAAACTGAACTATGTCAACCATTCCACCGAGTTCATTTACTAAAGTGCTGCAGAAAGCCTGCAAGCTAGCCTAGGGAAACAGTCAGTAGTAATTTACATTGATCTAACTACAGTAAATCAAATGCTAATTGATTTGCATTACTGAACTTTTCAAGAACCCCCATTTGCTCTGCTATATCGAATATACATTTTCCTAACCAGCTCTCACCTCTGGATAAGCTTCTCTTCCAAAGGGAGGTGGGAAGTCCACATCACCCCATTTAGCTTTGCATACGTAGTCCGCAGTTGCATCTATCTTAGCTGCCATATCCAAAACATACACGCCATCCTTGGTCACAACTAGAGAGGAAAACAAACATAAAATAACATTTTCTTGTTCATTTCTGTATGTTCAGAAAATAATGTATTATCCCATTGTTTAATTATATCTATACAAGCCCACAGTTCAGGCTGCCCCTCCATGGAGATGCACACGGGTTTATTGAAATTTATTGAAAATGCCCCTTTACTCAATCAAACTTCAATCAAAAAATGCTCAGTCTGCTACGTATTTGCACATGTTGATGCACATATGTACATACAATCATGCACCTAAAACGTATGCACATCATTTTAGTCTAATACTTAGAACATTAAATTGCTCTAGCCATTGGCAGGCTGAAATTAGGCATATATGCACATTTATGAGCACATATGCTTCAATTACACAAATACATTTCTCTCTGAATGCAGGTTTGGGGCATTTTTTTTATGCCCCGAAACATTGCTCTAAAACACCAATATAAAAATGCCACACAGTGCATGGACACATTGGTTAATACTGAGCTGAGCTTAAAAGGCACAAATAAAAAAAAAAAAAAAAAGAAAAATTTTATTCTAAAAGCAGAATTTTAACCAAAAAAATTCTCATGGGATTTTGTAGGCAGCCAAAAATTTACAAGAATCAAAATTTGTTTCAAAAAGAAACATAATCTTTATTACATATAGAGTAATATAATTATAATTACACTTTATAGAATGAAAAATATATTTGTACAAGTTTTTAATTTATGCCACATTTAAGGTGGTTGGTTTTAATGTATGTATGTCATAAAGATTATGTTCTTTTTGATACAAATTTTGATTGTTGTACATTTTTGGTTGCCTGCAAAATCCCATGAGAGGTTTTTTGGTTAGAATTCATGTTATTGGGGATGGTGGCAACCACTACCCAAAATTCAATTGGTATTGATTTTCTAAAAGCAGCATTTTCCTGCCTGAGTGCATGTAGCCTAATAAGCAAAACCAAGAAGTTCCCACTATACAAAATTTAGCTGGCATACATATTCTCTTGGCTGTCACCTTCCACTTGTGGAAGAGTATGCTTACATTTCTGGAGACTGAAAGGGTAGACTTTAATGTGAACATGTGCTCAGATCATGCACAATAAAGTATTTTACAGATTATGAACAAGCAGTAAAAGCACTTTATAAAAGCCCTCATTCATCTCTGCATGTATTACTTTTGTGGAAAAATGCAAGTTCAAAAGCTCACAGCAGCAGATGTTTGCAAACTGCAAGGTTCAGCATATATGTTACAATCTGTCCATACAATTTCTGTCCATACAAGCTCTGTAAAATGACATTTCAGTTTACAATTATGAAGACCTACCAATTCATACAGGCAGGATCTTGCAATACTTACTTGTTGGTAGATCCAAAAGAAAATTATACAATCAGATTGTAACTTGTGGTAAACTTTGGAAACCAGCTGAAGCCAGACTTCAGTCTTTGTTGAGATCTTTGTGAATGAAGAACTTCACATTGAAATCAACTAGAGATGAGAGGAAGGACTTGTTTTAAAGCAGTTATACTGCTTGTTGTAAATATGTATATAGTTTAATGTCCATAGTCTGGGGACAGGTGAACTCAGACTTTGCCTATAACTGGTAAACTAAAAAAGCCCCTTTCTTCTAATAGTTACCTTCTGATTGCTAAGTGGATTGAAGTGGAATACCATGTATCTCCAGGTATAGGGGATGAGATACACCCAACCAGGTCTTTTGGAGGAGACTGCAGGCTACTCTTTTGTATACGGACTATGGGCCTTGGTGTTTGAGGAGGCTCTTTTCTTTGGTAGGTGTGTGTCTGGGGGACCTTTTGGAATATTTTTACTTCAAAGTCAAGTCCATGTCTCCCAAAACACACAGACTCATAGAACTGGAGGACCAGGGTATAGATTTGGGTTCTCTGTGCCCAAACCAGCATTGACTGCTTCAACCCCCTCCTATCTCAGAGACTCTAAGCAGATGTTAATATAATCAGCTCAAAACAACCTGATGCTGAAGTCTCTTGCTGTAATCTTTTTATTGGAGTTGTCATGTGTTTACTGTTGTGTTGTTGTCCCATTGTTAGTTGAGTCACCTATTGTTTCTGTCTGTTGGCTATTCCTTCTGGAGGTTCCAACTTAAGCTCCTTATCTAATCAGTGTGTGATGTTTATCCCAATGTGTAAGGTTTGTTTTTATTGTTCTTGTGGGGACTGCCCCTATTTCTGAAGTGTATAAAAAAACATATTTCTGTTAATAAGCAGTTCCAGTTGCAACTAAGCTAGTATTGTCTAGTCCTTAGGGGCCCAGCTATAATACCTTGGTCCTGTGTCCCAGTGGTGAGGAAGCAGTTCTCTGATGGACGCACCCAGGAGGGGTGCCAGACGATCTGTCACAGGGGAGTATCAATTTTCTCCCAGAAGGCAGAGCTTGGTGCTTGGACAGCCAATAAACAGGCCAAAGTTCTATCATTCAGACTTAGGAAAGCATTCTCAGCTCTCTGCTCAGACAGACTTGGAACTTACACAGGACTTTTTCTTTGGCTCAAGTAGGTGCAACTATAGAGCACATAAATGCAGTTGGGCAATGTATGGTTCACTTTAAGAACTCATTCACAAGGGCTGAAAAAACATGCAAACCCATGCAAACATCCATGCCTACGTGTGAAAATATTTAGCCTTGCACAAAAAAGTAGGATACAGCTGTGCTCAGGGCCGCACAGATCCGCAGATTTTACACATGTATGCATTTTTACACGTACACGCCTAAAATCTGCAGATCTGTGCAGCTCTGAGAACAGCTGTATCCTACTTTCTCTGTGCATGGCTAAATGCATTACACATTTATGCATGTAGATATACATGCATAGTCATTCACTTGAATGAAAGAAGATTTATATGTGTTTAGACAGATTACCCATATAAACACATATAAAATGCACCTAAACGCTAGTCCTTACGCATATTTTGCGCAGCATCTTCTGCTAGTAAGAACCTGCGTTAAGTGCAGAAAATACACATATACCCATGTAAATGAGCCCTTAATATCTGGGACAGATGCTGAAAAGAGAGCACATCCGTTCCTGGTGTATCTCTGACAATTTATATCTGCATTTAGGCCAGATTGGGGAATTGGCTACCTTTCTTTATGCAGAAAATTGAGTTTATCCTCCTTTCTCTGAACAGATGTTACTCAAACAATGCACAGGGATGGTGGTGTGAAAACTGGGAAAGTCTGGAATATATCTTGCACCTGAGCATCAGCTACTAAGTTACTGTAATTAAAGAACATACCGAGTGGGTTGATCTCCAGGTAAGTGAAGAACAGGTCCTCATACATGTTGAACAGTCCAGTTATGAAGCTGGCAAGGACACTGCAAACATCATTTCAAATTGGTTAGCAAAAAGTTATAAGATACAGAAATTAAACACATTTCTAAAAGTAGAAAGTATTAAATAAACTACAGTAATAAAAAAAAAAAAAAAAAAGAGAAAGCTCAAACCATTTTATTACTATTTATTTACAATTTATCACTGAACGATTACCAATATTCCACACCTATCTTTTAAAGAGAAACAGTGGCCGGGTTTTGGACATCCAAGCAGTTAATTATTGTTAGCAAACAGTAAATCCGCTTTAAACTAAGCATGGGATAACCTCTATATCTGCAGGCACAGTGTATCAATTCATCCTTAAAACTCACAGCAAAAGCACTGACATTATTGAAGTCCTGATCTCAGGATCTCAGTTTACCCTACTCCCCCTCCCAGCAGTGACACATCGGCCTTCTAATTTTCAGTGTAAATACAGAGCATACACTCTGGGAAGGTATGGTTAGCTGAGCTACCTGGGAGAAGAACTAAAAGCACATTAGTGTTTCTGGAGTAAACTTTGTGGATGAATAGCTCTACAGTACATGCAAACATAACTCACAGACTTTGTTGTTCACATTACACAGGTTGGAAATTCAATGTGCATTTTGGAAGTACTTGAAAAGTAGAATAAAAAGTAACTTAAAGTGGAATTCAATTTTTTCTGTTGCATTAAATCTGGCTCTTACTCTTGTGATTTTTGAAAATGAATTACTACACAATACAAGCAGCTAGAGCGGTCAGTGAGAGTTTGCTGTAAAGCTTTACTTTACTTTACCGTTTCCTAAGAATATGTAAAAAGCCTAATGTCCAAAGTCAGAGCACAGGTTCACTTTAATTTATTAGACATATTCAGTGAAAATATAGGAAGCTCAGAAAGTGGGATATAATAGGACTAAATCTAGGTTTTATAGGCAGATATTGTTCTTCAGTTTTTAGCAATTTTTTTTACAATTTTTCATTATTTGCAGAGTTTGAACTACTCTGATTTGTGTCAGATTACACAATTCTCTGAAATGTAGGCATGTCATTTTTTGACAAACTGCAGAAAATTCTCTGTAGAAACAAAAATGACCTAGAACCTCAAGGACAGTTGAAGGTATAAATCTCTCCAAATTTGCTATGACTTTCCATAGTTACAATGCATGTCCACGACCTTTATTTGTGTGAACCTTGCCCTCAAATCTAATTCATGATAAGGAGCTGGAGATACAGCAGGCTCACAAATTACTTTTGCATGAAAGGTCTCATAAATGTCAAAACAGCAAATGTGCCCTAACAGAAATAAAGGGGATCTCTGTTTTATCTGGATTTGGCAAGATCATAAAAGATGGTTAAATTTTAAAAGAATGCCATTAGGCGTTAGGATACTGAGTAAAATTTGCCAAACATAAATATTTGTACAGTTCACAATAGTTGCTAAAATCTGTTATAAGGCTTGGTTCACACCTAAGAAGGTTAAGATTGATGCGTTTCCCAGTGTGCTTTGTGTTGTTTCACACAAGTTTTTTAATGCATTTTTGGGAGGTGTAACGATTGTACGCAATAGGGACATGGAAGCTGTATGCGACAACCATCTTGTTAAGGTCTCAGCCATTTTGTTTTTCATGAGCAGTGATCTTGCTCACTCCCTCCTCCTGCAAGTCCAGGCCTGAATGCCAGCTGTAAACAGCTAATTAGTCTTGGCATGATGTCTGTTTCCAGGAACCATGAAAAACTCTTCCCTGTGCCCTACCGTAAAACCATAATAACTCAGTCAAGCCTGTCACACATGACCTGCAAGGCCATTAAAGCTCTAGGAATGTAGAGCGTGCCATAAAATGTCTATTCCACAGCTTAACAATTCCACATACAATTCATAGAATCCAACAGGAACAGAACACATTAATATTAGGTATATATTTGAATGGGGAATATAATACCGAATAAATTAAGGTCATTCATGACTACCCTAGCACATACGAAAAGAGAGAAAGCAGTCTTCTGCCTCATGGGTGACAAAGGTGTGCTGTGTTTGGTATTACTGAATAATATTCTGCCAGTTTCTATAATACCACCTGCACTATTGGAAGTTATTAAGATTAGTGTAAAACTGTATTTTGGAATTGGTCTTAACGTGGTGGCCTCCCAGCACCCATCCCTTAAACTGGATTATTGATCAGCTCGTCTCTGGCGACACCCTTTGATATCACAGAAAAGAGGATGACAGGACCTGGTAAGCGAGCTCTCGTTTAACATCAACCAAGGAACATCTTAATGGACATGAGAGCCACGGCAACGTTTTTGCTTGGACAACTGGACTCTGCTAAAACCAAGGACTCTGCAAGTATTCTCCATTTTCACCTCCTTTTATTTCTATGTAGCGTTTTTGTTCTCTTTATGTCTTTGTAACATCCTTTTCTGTAAATACACTGCTCAAAAAAAGGAACACTTTGAAAACACATCAGATCTCAAATGGGGAAAAAATATCATGCTGGATATCTATACTGATCTGGACTGGGTAATGTGTTAGGAACATAAGGATGCCCCATCGTTTGATGGAAATGCAAATTATCAACCTACAGAGGACTGAATTTACCCCAAAAATCAAAGTGAAAAAATGAAGCAGCAGGCTTAGAAAATGGAAGACATACAAGACCACCAATAATCTCCCTCGATCTGGGGCTCCACGCAAGATCTCCCCCCGTGGGGTCAAAATGATCACAAGAACGGTGAGCAAAAATCCCAGGACCACACGGCGGGGCCTAGTGAATGACCTGCAGAGAGGTGAGACCAACGTAACAAAGGCTACCATCAGTAACACACTACGCCACCAGGGACTCAGATCCTGCAGTGCCAGACGTGTCCCCCTGCTTCAGCCAGTACATGTCCAGGCCCGTCTGAAGTTAGCTAGAGAGCATTTGGATGATCCAGAAGAGGATTGGGAGAATGTCATATGGTCAGATGAAACCAAAATATAACTGTTTGGTAGAAACACAACTCATCGTGTTTGGAGGAGAGAGAATGCTGAGTTGCATCCAAAGAACACCATACCTACTGTGAAGCATGGGGGTGGCAACATCATGCTTTGGGGCTGTTTCTCCGCAAAGGGACCAGGACGACTGATCCATGTACAGGACAGAATGAATGGGGCCATGTATCGTGAGATTTTGAGTACAAACCTCCTTCCATCAGCAAGGGCATTGAAGATGAAATGTGGCTGGGTCTTCCAACATGACAATGATCCCAAACATACCGCCCGGGCAACGAAGGAGTGGCTTCGTAAGAAGCATTCCAAGGTCATGGAGTGGCCTAGCCAGTCTCCAGATCTCAAACCCATAGAAAACCTTTGGAGGGACTTGAAAGTCCGTGTTGCCCAGCGACAGCCCCAAAACATCACTGCTCTAGAGGAGATCTGCATGGAGGAATGGGCCAACATACCAGCAACAGTGTGTGCCAACCTTGTGAAGACTTACAGGAAACATTTGACCTCTGTCATTGCTAACAAAGGATATATAACAAGTATTGAGATGAACTTTTCATATTGACCAAATACTTATTTTCCACCATAATTTGCAAATAAATTCTTTCCAAATCAGCCAATGTGATTGTCTGGATTTGTTTTCTCATTTTGTCTCTCATAGTTGAGGTCTACCTATGATGCCAATTACAGGCCTCTCTCATCTTTGTAAGTGGGAGAACTTGCACAATTGGTGGCTGACTAAATCCTTTTTTGCCCAACTGTATATATACAGTCAGGTCCATAAATATTGGGACATCGACACAATTCTAACATTTTTGGCTCTATACACCACCACAATGGATTTGAAATGAAATGAACAAGATGTGCTTTAACTGCAGACTGTTAGCTTTAATTTGAGGGTATTTACATCCAAATCAGGTGAACAGTGTAGGAATTACAACAGTTTGCATATGTGCCTCCTACTTGTTAAGGGACCAAAAATAATGGGACAGAATAATAATCATAAATCAAACTTTCACTTTTTAATACTTGGTTGCAAATCCTTTGCAGTCAATTACAGCCTGAAGTCTGGAACACATAGACATCACCAGACGCTGGGTTTCATCCCTGGTGATGCTCTGCCAGGCCTCTACTGCAACTGTCTTCAGTTCCTGCTTGTTCTTGGGGCATTTTCCCTTCAGTTTTGTCTTCAGCAAGTGAAATGCATGCTCAATCGGATTCAGGTCAGGTGATTGACTTGGCCATTGCATAACATTCCACTTCTTTCCCTTAAAAAATGCTTTGGTTGCTTTTGCAGTATGCTTTGGGTCATTGTCCATCTGCACTGTGAAGCGGCGTCCAATGAGTTCTGAAGCATTTGGCTAAATATGAGCAGATAATATTGCCCGAAACACTTCAGAATTCATCCTGCTGCTTTTCTCAGCAGTCACATCATCAATAAATACAAGAGAACCAGTTCCATTGGCAGCCATACATGCCCACGCCATGACACTACCACCACCATGCTTCACTGATGAGGTGGTATGCTTAGGATCATGAGCAGTTCCTTTCCTTCTCCATACTCTTCTCTTCCCATCACTCTGGTACAAGTTGATCTTGGTCTCATCTGTCCATAGGATGTTGTTCCAGAACTGTGAAGGCTTTTTTAGATGTCGTTTGGCAAACTCTAATCTGGCTCTCCTGTTTTTGAGGCTCACCAATGGTTTACATCTTGTGGTGAACCCTCTGTATTCACTCTGGTGAAGTCTTCTCTTGATTGTTGACTCTGACACACATACACCTACCTCCTGGAGAGTGTTCTTGATCTGGCCAACTGTTGTGAAGGGTGTTTTCTTCACCAGGGAAAGAATTCTTCGGTCATCCACCACAGTTGTTTTCCGTGGTCTTCCGGGTCTTTTGGTGTTGGTGAGCTCACTGGTGCATTCCTTCTTTTTAAGAATGTTCCAAACAGTTGTTTTGCCACGCCTAATGTTTTTGCTATCTCTCTGATGGGTTTGTTTTGTTTTTTCAGCCTAATGATGGCTTGCTTCACTGATAGTGACAGCTCTTTAGATCTCATCTTGAGAGTTGACAGCAACAGATTCCAAATGCAAATAGCACACTTGAAATGAACTGTGGACCTTTTATCTGCTCATTGTAATTGGGATAATGAGGGAATAACACACACCTGGCCATGGAACAGCTGAGAAGCCAATTGTCCCATTACTTTTGGTCCTTTAACAAGTGGGAGGCACATATGCAAACTGTTGTAATTCCTACACCGTTCACCTGATTTGGATGTAAATACCCTCAAATTAAAGCTGACAGTCTGCAGTTAAAGCACATCTTGTTCGTTTCATTTCAAATCCATTGTGGTGGTGTATAGAGCCAAAAATGTTAGAATTGTGTCCATGTCCCAATATTTATGGACCTGACTGTATATAAATATTTTAGATCCACCTAAAATACCCATTACTGTCCTGCAGTCTTCATTTACTCACTCTCTCTTATCTGGCGCTGCATGGACCAACAAGTGAGTCCTCACATCTTGCTCTGTCAAACGTTCTCCAACACCAACCAGGAACTTCTGAGCCTTTGAATCCACATCGCCGACATCCACACCGCCTTCATGGTGGAACAACACATAATCCCCCTCCCGAGCTGCATAGATACAAACATAGAACTCCTCTTCCTGCAGAAAAGCAATGAGGTGTTAGTAACATTCCACTTAGCCTCAAGAGTAAACATGCTCAGGTGGATAATAAAAGCAAATGGATCAAAGTTTACTTTACAGAAAACACAGAAATGGGGGATGGAAAATTTATTAACAGTCAGAAGTTGATTGTTTCACTCTAGGTGACATATATGGAGGTAGGAATCATGGATTTCCATAGACCAGATGGCACGAGACTACATGGCAATTAGTAGCAAAATGGTCCAGTGCAGGAACAACTTGTTCATTTGTTGCATAAAGTGGCAGTAAGCCCTTCCATACACCCAGTGAAGTGACTGGCCTCAGGTGATACACAGCAATGAATCAGATGCTCCTACATAAGTTGTACCTTTTTATCTATAGCCATCTTTCAAAAGGGCAGAATTTACACACGATCACTCAGCTCTGAAAAATAGAGGGCTGAGAGCTGAAATTACATCAGTGAGGAGAGCTCTGAGAGCGGATTAGAGGGAAGGGACAGACCCCCCCCCTCCTTCATACAGCACACAGGAACAGAGCTGAAGCTGTCAATCACAGGCTGTGCCAACCCGTCACCATTTTTCTCCTGGTGTCGGGCAAACTGGTCATAAACGATTTATGCTGATAGTAGAGGAATGAAGCAGCGGACAGAAATGACACTTAGTGTTCTTAATTAGTAGACACTATAGAGGGATTTGCTTGTTGAATATTTCAGATCTACAGTTTACAACCACTTTAAAGCCCAACTGCAGGCAACTGAATAATTATCCCTTGCAGTTGGGCTGTGCCCTTTAATTGCACAGTTAAGTCTAAATGGAAAGAAAAAAAGATTTACCTACTCAACCCTGTTTCTCCTGCAGCTAAACCAGCCCCCCCAGTGTCTTATCCCAAACACTCCACCGGTCTAAGGTCCTGGTATCAAGACCAAAGCAGGGTCCAAAGCCTTGCACTGATCGTGATGATGCCAAGGGAAAGTCCACCGCTAGAACGCGAGGGAGCGGAGGATCAGGTAATTAAAAACATTTTTCCTCTCCTCTAGACAAAATCAGCCATTGGATGCAGCCCCACTGCAAGGGATCATTTTACATTTGATTGGACGCTAAATTACATTGGAAGGAAATAAATGAAATTGCACTACTTTAAAAGGGGGCTTTAGGGAGTCAGACCTTGTGATTTACAATTGTCTGATGTCAATGAGATTTTTGTTGTTATAATGAGTTTAACAAAAACAACATGACAAGGCCCCCAGGAGTCACACTACACACCATGATGTCTCGGTTAGTCAGGGATTCTTGCACAACTCAGTCAGTATTTCAAATCAATGAGCAGAACCATTCTTAAGCTGGGCAAACACTATACAAATTTTGCTACTTTGATGGCCCTATTGGCCACCTCCCAGCCAACATCCCTCATTTGAGATATTATGGAATCTGGGTGTAAAGTTGTCAGCCAAACAGCAGCTGCATCCGATCAGCTAGAGCAGCTGTTCAGGCCTTGCCAGCGATCAAAATGCAAAAGCTGCAGCAGGAGATCCATCCATCTATACTGTATAGACTTGGTGCTTTCATTCAGCCCATGGGGTTATGTGTATACCTAAGCTTAGGTTTCATTCCTGCCCCGGTCTGGGCAATGAACTTCACATCATTCCGACTGCCTCTAGCATTGGTTGTATAAGTAAATGGCAAATGGAAGAAGTGGCGTACCAAAATGAAAATTCTTGGACCGAAACAAAAAATTCAGGATTCATTTGGCCAAAAACCGAAATGGACAGTTTTCTTAAAAACTTACTTTTTTTTAAATAAAAATATTACATTATTTTCAACTTTTTAATTAATATAATGAATTTAAATAAATATGAATTTATTTTCAGCAACAATAGGCTGCTTTCACACTGAGCAGTTTTTAAAATGGTTTTTTTTTTTTTTTTTTATAAAAAAGCAACACAAGAAAAGAAAAAATGCATCCCTTTAAATTCAATGCATGTATTCACACTGGTCTGTTGTGCGGTGTTAAAAAAAAAAAAATCCTGCTTTCTGCAGTTATGGTGTATATTTGGCGAGTTAAAAAAAAAAAAACGCAACTCCCCATTGATGCCTGGTGCACACCAATGTGTTTTTTTAAGGCTTTTTGCATTTAACATGGTTTCCTATGGGACACGTTCACATCTATGCTTTTTTGAGATGCTGGAAAAGGTCAGGGACTTTTTTAAATGCAAAACGTAGCATTTTTGGTTCAGTAGACTTCAATGGAGATACTGCAGAAAATGCATGTAGTGCTTTTTTAATGCTTTGAAGCGTTTTCGCATGTTTTGCTTTTTTAATCTGCCCAACAAAAAAAAACCCATTTAAAAAATGCAAAACGCATAAAAAAATGTGCCACAAATGCGCATGCAAAAATGCAAAATGAACTGCAAAAAGCACTGCAAAATGGACAAAATGCAAACTGCATTGATGTGAAACAGGCCTGAAACGCATTAAAAATGCATAAAAACAGGTGTTGCATTTTTGATGTTTTGTGTTTTTAATCTGCTCAGCAACAAGTTAGCCAAAAAAAAAAAAAAAAAAAAATTCAAAAACCGTATCAAAAATGTGCAAAAAACACACTATAAAATGGACAAAACACAAACTGCACTGGTGTGAAAACAGGCCTGAAATGCATGGAAAATGCAGCAAAAATGCACGTGTTGCGTCTCTGACGTGTTTTGCGTTTTTAATCTCTCCAGCAACAAGTTGGCCAAAAAAAAAAACAAACATTTAAAAAACGCATCAAAAAATGTGTCATAAATTTGCATACAAAAATGCAAAACGCACTACAAAAAAACATTGCAAAACTGACAAAATGCAAACTGAATTGGTGTGAACCAGGCCTGAAATGAATTGAAAATGCATCAAAAACGCACGTGCAAAACGCAAACTGCATTGCTGTCGAAACAGGCCTGAAATGCACTGAAAATGCATAAAAAAAAAAAAAAAAAAAAAACACATCTTGCTTCTTTGATGCATTTTGCATTTTTAATGTGCCCAGCAACATGTTGGGGAAAAAAAATAAAAAAAAAACCACAAAATTTATTGAAAAACGTGTCACAAAGGCGCGTGCAAAAACGCAAAATGAACTGCATACAGGCCTGAAATACATTTAAAAAGCACCAAAAACACACACGTGTTGCATTTTGATGTGTTTTCCGTTTTTAATCTGTCCAGCAACAAGTTGGCCAAAATGTGTATGTGGGGGGGGGGGGGGGGTAGGGTGCGGCTGAGAAAGGCAGGAGAGGAGCAGTGTATACAGTGACTGGCTGTCACTATATGCCAGTGCCAGTTTTTAAATGTAATTACAGGCTTTTTTTTTTCTTCATTATAGCTCAGAGAATTAGCTGTCACATCCCCCCCCAAGCTAAAAGAAACAAAGTTTACGGTTTGTTTCTTTTATCTCCAAAATAAACTAAGTTTCCTTTCGCTCCAGGGAAAGTGACAGCTAATTCTGTGAGCTACCATGAAGAAAAAAAAAAGCTGGAAATTGCATTTAAAAACCGGCACAGATATATAGTGACAGCCAGTGAGGGAGCCTCTCTGTATACATTGCTCCCTCACTGTATACACTGCTCCTCTCCTGCCCCCTCCTTGCACACACTGCCCCCCACCCTTCTCCCCCCTACAAAGAGGACCTGTCACTCATATGCTATCACATAGGGGACTATTGGTCCCCTATGTGATAGCAATAAAATCATAAGTTAAAAAAAAAATAATAAAAATACACATGAAAGTAGAAAAAAAAAAACCTGGAGCCTCCCCACCCCCACATACGCAGACATTTCGGTTTCGGTTCGGTTTTTGGCCACATGCATTATGAATTTTCAGTATCGGTTTTGGCACCAGAATTTTCATTTCATTCCTCAATAACAAATTTGCGTATAAAAATGCAAAACGCACTACAAAAAGCATTGCAAAATTGACAAAACACAAATTGGTGTGAACCAGGCCTGAAATGCATTGAAAATGCATCAACACATATGTTGCATTTTTGATGCATTTTGTGTTTTTAATCTGCCCAGCAACAAGTTGCCAAAAAAAATTCAAAAACCGCATTAAAAGAAAAAAAACTAAAAAAAGTGTCAAAAACGCACACGCAAAACTGACAAAATGCAAACTGCATTATTGTGGAAACTGGCCTGAAATGCACTGAATATGCAGCAAAAATGCACAAAAACACACACGTTGCTTTTTTGATGCATTTTGCATTGTTGATCTGCCCTGCAACAAGTTGGCAAAAAAAAAATTCCAAAAATGCAAAACACATTAAAAAATACATCAAAAACATGTGCAAAAATGCAGAACACACTGCAAATGGACAAAACTCAAATTGCATTGGTGTGAACCAGGCCTGAAAGCATTGAAAATTCATCAAAAACGCACACGTTGTGTTTGGATGTGTGTTTTTTTTAGTCACATGACCTATGAAAAACACACCCTAAATATGGTAAAATCATGGCAAAATCGTGGGTGTTCAGCGGCCATTATCGGCTCCTTTTTTCCTATCAGCAAAATGCCGATAACCCTATTTTCGGCCGATACATTTCGGATGCCGTTATATTGGTGAACCCCTAGATGGGAGTATGCAGAAGCAGATTCTTTGCTGCTTTTAAAGGGCCACAACTATCACAATGCAGCAGATAACTACTGTACGAAAATAAATTCTTCCTTTAATTACATAGAATAAAAAAAAAAAAAAAAAACATTCTGCACTTTCCACTCACCTGTCTATGAGGAACAAATGGCTCGATCAAGAAATTCTTCAACACTCCCCTTGCTTTGGCTATCTGAAAAATAAGAATAAGAAACTCCAGTAAAAGTAGTAAATATTCCCAGCAACCACCAAGGAACATTATGCTGAAAGGAGTGTCAGCTCTTCACAGCATGACATCCAACTAACTGAAGTTATAGAACACAGAATCATGGCACAAGAGGCTGCAGCTCCAAATCCTGAATTACATGCAGGAAAACTACTAGAGCCTAATGTTTCCTGGACTGTGCTGGTGACCTATAGCAGCACTTCAGATTTCAACCCACTGTAATCATATATAACATACCGGATTGGTTGCCATCAATTTCTACCATCGGGTGTGACTGTAACCAAAATGTCCTTTGGACACATCTGATTACAGATCGAGGTAAAGGGCCAAACACATTTGACCTTCACCATGTGATCAGCTATGTCCAATCACAGCTGGTCACATGTAAACAGGCCGATCGGTTATCGGCATTTCCTTTCCTCCACGCTGTCTCTGTGTGAAGAAAGGAGAGCCAACAACCGGCCAGACTGACTGCACAGTGAGTACATTGTTTACACTGATAATCAGGCTGATGATGATTTGTGCCCTGATTATCAGTGCAGTGTCAAACTCATCAGTGACCATCAATGCGCCTCATCAGCACCCATCAGTGATGAAAAATTACTTATTTGCAAAATTTTATAAACAGTAAAATGTTTTATTTCTCCAAATGTTCGGCCTTTTTTTTAGTTTATTTAGCAAAAAAAAAAAAAAAACCAAAACAGTGGTGACCAACTACCACCAAAAGAAAGCTACTTGTGTGAAAAAAATAATAAAAATGTAATTTGGGTACAGTGTTGCATGACCGTGCAATTGTCAAAGTCTGAGAGCTGAAAATTGGTGTGAGCAGGAAGGGGGTAAAAGTGCCTGGTATTGAAGTGGTTAATTAATAAGCCCATTCTGGCTTTGAGAATGGTTTAAAAATTCCTACTTGACTTGAATAGATGATACTTTAGAAAGACATTTTATGCACATGCTAAGGCAAGCAGTGTGGGTACTTAAAGCAGAGTTCCTGTGAGAAAAAAAAAAAAAAAAAAGTCAGCTGCTACAAAAACTGTAGCTGCCGAATTTAAAAAAAAAAAAAAAAAAAAAACCAGAAAAAAAAACAAAAAAAAAAAAACTTACCTGTCCCTTGATCCCATAGTGTTGTTCCCCCCCTTGACCCCCCCACAGCCTGTTTCACTGGCCACCCTGTGTTCCCGGCACCGGCATCTTCAGTGTGGGCACCCGGCTGTGACAGCTTCACAGCTGGGACCTCACTGCGCATGCGCAAGTAGAATGGTCCCATAGTCTTTTTATTCTGGTTGTTTATCAGCAATTTTGTTAAAGGCTAAATTCATCTTTAAAAAAAAAAAAAAAAAAAAAAAAAAGATAAATGCACATATTTTTCCAGACAAAAAACTGCATTTTTTTTTTTTTGGGAGCATGAAGAGCATTGCACTCACCATCAGCCGATAATGGGTGCAATGGCAGGATCCTGCAGAATCTCAGTACAGCTGCCTCCCGATACCTCCTGTATGGGTAGACAGTTACGGCAGAGCAGTAAGAATAATGACCTAGTAGGGCAGCACAGTGGCTAAATGGTTAGCACTTCTGCCTGGCAGTACTAGGGTCGATGGTTCAAATCCCAGCCACGACACCACCTGCCTGCATGTTCTCCCTGTGCCTGCGTGGGTTTCCTCCGGGTACTCTGGTTTCCTCCCACACTTCAAAGACATGCTGGTAGGTTAATTGGCTCCTATCTAAATTGTCCCTAGTATATGTATGTATGAATGTAAGTTAGGGACCTTAGATTGTACGCCCCTTGAGGGTTAGGGACTGACGTGAATGTGCAATATATGTGTAAAGCACTGCGTAAATTGATGGCGCTATATAAGTACCTGAAATAAAATAAAAATAAATTAGAGCGCATTATGAAAGACTTCCTTGAAAACGAAGCCCTCCATCGCAACACTGTCACGGCTCCCTGGGGCTTCCGTCCTCACCAGGCCTGCAGACTGCGGCCGTATGACTGGTTGAGCAGCGATGACGTTACTCCTGCGCATGCGTGCAGGAGTATCAGCCGCGGAGTGACTCTCTCAATGGACAGCAGGTCATCCATTGAGAATGACATCACGGGCACTGCTAAAGTAAATATCTCCTAAACTGTGCATGTTTAGGAGATATTTACTGTACCTAAAAGGTAAACCTAAAATAAGTATATATAAAAAAAAAAAGCAAAAAAAAAACCAAACAAAAACCTGACTTTGCTACCACTTTCAGTTGGTGCCAAGGTGACTTTAATACAGACAGGTGTCTGCAGGGATGAGCTCCGGCATGTTCAGATACCAGTCCGAACCCACCTGAGCTATTTAGTCAGGGAGCTGGCACTGCGGACCGGTAATCAGGAGCAGCCAAAACATTCTGCAACCACAGCCGTGCGTATATGCGCCTCTCCTACAAGTGCAGCTGCAAAGCAGAGAATGTCTCAGTCATTTATGATCAGCAGTCCGCAGTGACAGCTCAGACCCCAGTGTGATGATCAATGGCATTGTAATGTTCTGTAACTAAACTTTACAACAAACTCAGAAGGAAATCACTTGGTTAAACTTTTTTCAACACAGTTATTACAGAGAAGTGACTTTTCATTTTGAATTCAGATCAGCGCACTGTTTTTTTTTGCTAGTCAAGAGCACTAAATCACACGGCGTGTTCTGACAGCAGGCAGCCAATCAATCTTCCAGCGCCAAATCGCAGCCCAGGAATACATCCTGTTTAATTAGATGCTTTGACAGCTCAAAACAAGCAGACCCACATATTACAGACACCAGTTAATGTGTGTGTTCAGGGTGGAAAAATACCAAGACGTTATGTGAAACGTTTACAGATATGTTATAAGCAACCAAGCGGTACATTATGTTCCCATAAAATCATCAGCAAATGAAAACAAAAATTATACAGTGGACATATCTACATAATATATGTACATATACTTTATTTTTATATCAGGTATATGCCAACTAGCTAGAACATTTTCCTTTAACATTCAGTTAATTGATTATGGTGCTAAAAATAATAACTAGCACTAGATTTGGCATATAATAAAAGGAGTAAAAAGCAGTGGAAAGTGATCAGACAAAATATACAATACAGGGCTTGAAATTTCCACTCGCCTGCTCGCCAATGGCGAGTGGAAATTATGGTGGGGGCGAGTGTGTCCCCCAGGGCCGTCTTGCTGAGCAGTCTCGGAGCTCAGGCTGGATCTGTCATTGGCACTGGGAACCGTCAGACTGCTCAATAGCTGAGTGCAGTGAAAGCAAAGGAAGGAGTGTGTGCTGTGCTCTCTGCCTCCCTCTAGAGTGCAGTACCCGGCTCTGTGAGTGAACAACAAAGTACGGCAACTTTTTATGGGGGGGGGGGGTGTACATGTACATGTGTGTGTCTTTGCATGCATGTACATGTGACTGTGTGTATCTGTACGTGTCTTTGTGTACATGTGTGTGTTTGTGTGTATGTATGTACATGTGTCTGTGTGCGTGTACATGTGTCTGTGTATGTATGTACATGTGTCTGTGTGCGTGTACATGTGTCTGTGCGCGTATCTGTGTGTATGCATGTCTGTACGTGTCTGTGTGTGTATACATGTCTGTATGTGTGTGTGTGTGTGTGTGTGTGTGTGTGTGTGTGTGTGTGTGTGTGTGTGTGTGTGTGTGTACATGTGTCTCCGTGCGTGTGTGTACATGTTTCTGTGTGTATGTGTATGTACATGTCTGTGTGTACAGGTGTCTCTATTTTTATGTGTTTGCTGGTGACGAGTAACTCTTAAGGCCTGGCTAGTAGCTCAGGACTTGAAATTTTAAGCCCTGATATAAAAGAATAATATTTTGTCAGATGTGACGGGCATCTGTAAGAATCTGAATCTCCACTCAAAACCAAAACTTTTTTGGACTTTTTGGATGGAGTAGTAAGGGGTCAAGTCCCTTGTCAGGTTTGCATTGCAGCCGGAGTCTCCCCATTAAGGAGATTCTCTCTCTGTTGTCCTGGTGAAAAATGTCATAGGAATAGATGGGAAATCTTCCAATGGTGACACTTGTTCCAGTGATAACTAAAAGGGAATTTTCCTCACTTCCTGTTTTGCCTTCCTTAGTGGAACACAGACAGTTTTAAAAAAAAAAAGTTTTAACTTTTTCCTACTCTATCCAAAATATAATTTAATTTACAAATCTGAATGTGGCTACATTGTTTTCAATGGTGACAATTTACACAGGTGCATAAACATGCATTGCGTTCATCCAAACATCGGTGTCCGAGGACAAGCATATACCGTACATTAGAACAGCACAATGTTTTTTTTTAAATCTATTTACTGATCATTTGAGTATCTCTCAGCGCTAAGGTCAGCCAGGAGGGGAGAAGAGGGATGGAATTACAGTCAGCCTGTCAGGGAAAATGTTTAAACTTAAAAAAAGAATGAAATAAACCCTGAAGCCAGCAATAGATGGTTTGAATCTTGGCCGGTTCAGCAGGGAGTGGCTGAGAATCAAACCATCTATGGGCAGGCTGGCTGTACCCAATTCGATAAAAACAGGTGGTTGAGGCGCAGTTTTACCATCCACCGCCTACCCTCCTAAAAGAAAACATGCAGCCACTCAGGGGTGACCACATGCAGCAGATTTGCTCCATTACTATAGCAAAAATTATACCCCCCCCGTTGCATTTACTAAGCAGTACCACTGCCAAACACAACCCTTGCAGCGCAGTATTTACATAGAAAATATCTTTTCAGCTCTACAGCTCTTTAAAAAGGGATCTACTGTGGGTAGCTTCTCAGAGGGCCAGCAAGGGCTGTCATTCATGTGAATGAGCCCTTATGGACAGGTTAATTTAGGTGTTGAATTTTTAATGGCTGTAAATTCAGTACGATTTATAGAGGGCAGCAAAACAGCACAGTGGCTAAATGGTTAGCACGTCCGCCAGGCAGTACTAGGGTCGTTGGTTCGAATCCCAGCCACGGCACTACCTGCTTGGAGTTTGCATGTTCTCCCTGTGTGGGTTTCCTCCGGCTTCCTACGACACTCCAAAGACATGCTGGCAGGTTATTTGTTTCCCGTCTAAATTGGCCCTAATATGTGTATGTATGAATGTGAGTTTAGGGACCTTAGGACCTTAGATTGTACGCCCCTTGAGGGTTAGGGACTGATGAGATAGATAGATAGATAGATAGATAGATAGATAGATAGATAGATAGATAGATAGATAGATAGAGCTGCGTAAATTTGATAGCACTATATAAGTACCTGAAATAAAATAAGTAAAACTCCAATTAGCTGTAGATAAACATTGCAACACGTTCTCAAAATTTGATTTGCTTTAGAAAATTGCATACAGTGAGGCATGATGCTAGACATACTGAAGATTAGATTTTTGGCTTACATAGACTTCAAAGATAAAATTACTGTGTCGGATATTATGGCTCAAATTGCCAGTAATTCCAGCTAAATTGCCCTGTTGGTACCACCCAACTTGACAAAAGCTAATTTAAAAATCAACTTGACTGGGTAACAAATTAACAGCAAATAGTGACAGAGTCCTGTCAGTTGCTGTTGATGCTTTGGTATTCTGAAAACCGGGGGTGTCACTATTGTGTGAATACAACAGTCAGTAATGGGAATTCCTCCATCCTGTTTAGCCCCTGAACAGAAGAAAATCAACAGATTCCTTCATACATGCCTAACAGAAATATCTATGCAAGTACTGCCAGTCTAAAGCAGGCCATATTTATTTTTCTTCATTCAACCAGTTGTTAAAAAAAAAAAAAAAAAAAAAAAAAAGTGTATTCATGGGGGAATCCCTCCCATGGAGATACTGTACTCTGACAGCAGGAAGAGTTTCCTGCCATCAGAACACAATGATCAGTGTCGCTGGCTATAGCAAGAGAATGAGAGTTCATCTTCTGTATACCCAGCCGGTTTCTGCTGAACTGGACAAATTTTGATCAGTCTATGGCTGGGTTTAGTCCTTATTTCACACTCTTAAATGTTTGTTTTATTATAGTTGATTGACCTGGATGTAGCAGCTCAGTTGCTGAGTAGCAAAACAGTGTAAAAAAAACACTGATAATTAGACGTTGGCTGTGGTGGTATACAATACACAATGTCGGCCCCACCAATGAGCTGACTTGGATGGAGATCTATCATTGCTGTAGATACTTAGAGGGCATCCAGCAGAAAATAAGGTTTGGATGTGAACTAACACCCTACCACCCCAGTCCCTGTTGTACCTCCGTGGAAGAGTAGCCATCACCGCCCATGCAGCCAGTGCAGAAAACCTAGGGATACCAGCTCTCACAGTATTTCTCAATGGCTGCAAGAATGCAGCCAGAGAGAAGGAGAAATTATTGCTTTTACAGTCTTTATGGGTGTAAAAGCAATCAGTGTAAAAAAAAAAAAAAAAAAAAAAAGAAAAACATCTTCATCACCCCCCACAAGTACAGTGTCACTATGGTGACACTGTACTGCTAGGGTGACAGTATGTTTAAAAAAAACATAAATAAGAATATAAAAAAATTAAATAAAAATGTAAAAAAAAATTGTAAAAAAATTATACATTTGGTTATAAACTAATTTGGGTAATTTTTTTTTTAATAAAAAGATAGCTGAATACATTTGACCAAGATTTATGAAGAAAGATTATTTATTTGCAAAATATTATAAGAAAAACACTTTTATTTTATTTATTTTTCAAAATGTTTGGGCTTTTTCATTTATATAGCAAAAAAATAAAATCCCAGTGGTGAAATAAATACCACCAAAATAAAGTTTTATCTGTCTCAAAAAAATTCATATGGGTACAGTGTTGCATGACCGTGCAATTGTCAAAGTATGATAGCACTGAAAGCTGAAAATTGGCCTGGACAGGAAGGGGGTGAAAGTGTCCAGACTTGAAGTGGTTAAAATCCCTGGGCCTCTGCACTGACTGTGTGGGCAGTGATAGCTAATCACCCACAGAGGCAAGTGCAGTGGGGAACGGGGCTAGGGAGGGTGTACAGTGTTCGTTCACATACCTTGTAATTTTTTGTGAAAACATGAACCTACACTTTAAATATGTAGGGTGTCACTTACCAATAAATTAATATTTCTTAGGAGTCTGTGTATATACATACACCAAATACATGGCTCATGCAAATGACCCTATAGCTAGCAAATCAGTGCAGATATATGGACACTTACTGTAGTTTCACGTCCCAAACGTTGCTTCAGCCAACTCTTTACTTGGTCCAAATTTAAGTTAACGCCTACAAGTCCCAGCTTTCCACGACGTTTGATCAGTTGGTCAGGTTTCACACACCAGAGGCTGAAAAAGAAGAATCACAAGATAATGAAAGTAAAATGTAACTTAAATTTAGCCCTGCAACGAAACAGCTAAAAACCTGACCCAACAACACACACGAAAGGGTCAATCTACTTCAGATTTGGGCAAATGCTACAGCAGACTCGATCATACAATGATTTCTTATACCAAAATATTTCCTAGGTCCAATCATCTGTCACCACTATCACTAAGGAACGCTCTCAAATTAAGTTGGATTTCTCTTGGAGACCTTCAAGGACTAAAAAAGTCTTAAGTGTCAGGGCCAGAGTCTCAAACAGAGAGATCTTGTAACACAAGATAAGTGATCACAAGAACCCAATAGTTGATGTAGACCACCGATTTCCACTCTCACGTCTAATAATGGTTTCTGTGGTCCTACCCTTTAGCCTTCCTAACAGTATAACCTTTTCTCTTAAGATTTATAACTATTAAAGTATTAGAAATTGTCTAGATATTACAGATCAGAAAAACTGTGCAATCAATTATGATAAATTAGTGTTATGCACGTAAGCTGCAAGCCTTAGAAAGAGAATAATACACTTTTATTTAATTCTATTTTAAAGAATGGTAAGGAAAATATTTACAATATTGAAGGAGCTATGAAAATGTGTTTCCTCTCTGAACTGTCGTTTTTAAGCAGATGAAAGGTCTGTATTCAGGTTGGTGTGTCCTCAAACTAGGACAGACCACCTCAAAAACTGCATCTCTCGGGATAGAAAGACATCAGCAAGTTGCTGCCCAGTAGAGATGAGCTTGGGCATCCTGCAAATTCATCTCCGCAAGTTCAGAGGATGCCTATGCTCATCTCTACTGGGCAGCAACGTGAGGTCACATGATTCCGATGGGCAAAGATAATAAAAGAGAGGCTTGACGGTCACAAAACCTCAGGGAGAGAGCCACAGGACAAAGTGTTTTAGCATTTGGAAGTGTAAAATAACTAGAAAGTACTTGATGAAGTGTTACTCTACGCCCTGGTTCACACTGATGTGGTGCAGAATTTGCAGCGGTTTCAGTGCAAATTCTGCACTGCATCAGTCACACCTCGTTCATGCGAACCGCTTCGGGTGTGTATGATAACAACATCCTGAAAGCGGCCCGCAAAACGCGCGATGCAATGTGCGGAATCGAATCGCATCGGTGTGAATACCCATGCGATCCAACTCTAGTGCGGACCCAAAAAAGGGTCCTGCACATTTTTGGTGCGGTGCGAATAGAAATGTATGGCTCCAGTCACACCGCACACAAATCGCATGTGATTTGCACAGGAATGCTGTACGGTTCCTGTGTGAATCACATGCGATATACTGCACAGCATATATGTGAACCCAGACTTCCAGAATGTCGTGCAAAAGTAGCACTGTTAATTAAAGGGGTTCTAGAGGCTCAGGGTTTTTACCTTCATGCGTTCTATGCATGAAGCTAAAAAACCTTCTGTGCACAGCGCCCCCCCCCCCCCCCCAATCTTTACTTGAGATCCCTCTGCTCCAGCGGTGATCGACATCCTCTGCAGTCTGGGGACTATTCCTCCTCATTGACCCTGCTGCTGTCAAACACAGCCAGTGAGCCAATGAGGAGAGAGTGAGGGGGGCGAGCTATGGCTCTGTGTGTCTTATGGACGCATAGAGCAGCAGCTCGGGGACAGGCATGCAGAGGTGCCTCCCAGGGCAAGCAGCTTTCCCTGGGGGCACTGCTCATGGAGGAGGAGCCAGGAGTGCTGGTGGGGACCCCAGAAGAAGAGGATGGGGATGATTTGTGCAAAACCACTGCACAGAGTAGGTACGTATGACATGTTTGTTATCTTAGGAGCAAAAAAAAACAAGCTTTACTGTCCCTTTAGGTTGGAAAAACGACTCACGTAGTGTTAGGGTAGAATGGCTCAAGGGATGTAGGAGGGAAAATCAATTGTTTCCTCTATCCACACTGGTAGCACCATTGGAGGAATCTCCATTGCTGGCTACTATATTCAAGTAGCCACAACCCTGCAACTGCCTGAATGCAATGGTGCTGCCAAACAGTGACATCATCTGATAGTTACTGTTCACCAGATAATTTTCTACCTGACTTTGTCAATTTTTAAATCAACATTTTTTGAGCCAGCTTGAAGGGCCACTCATGGCTCAAACTTTGGCCGATTCAGCAGGAATCACCTGAAATTCGTGCATACTATGGCCAGCTTTAGATGTGGCAGCTCTGCAGAGGGTTAGCACGGAGATCAGAGAGGTTTTACTATCCTCCGACTGTGTGTCTGAGCCTTACGCTTCCATTTTCAAGCTGGTTTGTTTTTGGTTTCCCTCATCTCACAAGGCAGTAGTGGACAAATAAACTGATGTGGTTCTTGAGGAAGCGTTTCAATAAAGTGTTACTAAACCCACAACAATAAAATCAGTCTGTATATGCAGTAAAGCATGCTTGTTATACTCACTGTGGAACTTAAAGTGGAGCTTCACCCAAAAGGGGAAGCTCTGCTTTAAGCCTTTGTTCCCGGTACCCCGTTAAAGATTGGCACCCTTGGGGAGCGGGTACCTGAATTTGACAGGTACCCACTCCCACTGCGACCGCCTAAAGCAATCGGAAGCGGAAGTTGTCCTCCCCCCTCCATCTTTGTAGTCTTCTGGGATACGCGACAGGTCCCAGAAGACTACGGGGCCATTCACAAAGCAGCACAGCGTTACTCACGCATGCGCAGTGGGCACCTGGCTGTGAAGCCGCAAACTGTCACAGCCGGGTGCCCACACTGAAGATGTCGGCACCAGGGAGAGAAGACAACCAGTGAAACCAGCCCTGGTGAGGACACTGCTGGACCGAGGGGCAGGTAAGTGTCTGTATTTTAAAAAAGTCAGCAGCTACAGTTTTTGTAGCTGCTGACTTTTATTTTTTTTTTTTTATTCAACTGGAACTCTGCTTTAAGTGGTTAATCCTCTGCATTGTGTAAAAAGGATGTTTAAAGCAATACTAAAGGTTAAATTTTTTTTTTTTTTTGTAAAATAACAAAACATGTCTATACTTACCTTCTCTGTGCAGTGGATTTAAGGGTTAATACGTTAATCACACATAGTTGGAGAACTACTCAAATTCATCTATTTCATCTTTTTTTCTCATGGTTACTGTGAAATTGTGTGAATGTATCAATGCAGAGCATGTTATCTCAGCTTGCAGAGCTTGGATTCATTGAATGAGTTTACCAAAATGTCAATATTGCAGAATATACAGCCTCATGCTACATAACAAGGCTCCATTTAATGCTGAATAAACTAAGGTATTAATGTATCTTAAATAGAAAACTATCTTTAGACAGATTTTTACTCCAAAAAGTATTTTATTAAAATAAATTTGATAAAAATTTTAAAAATCCAAAAAAAATAAATAAAAATAAATAAATAAATCATCGATTTGTATCCACCCTGGTTTCCATCCCCTGTGTAGTACCTGTACAGAATAAAGCTGGCCACACATTCAAGAATAAAGGAATCCTTCCCGCTGCTCTATTGTATTCTGACAGCAGGAATTCTACATTGTCAAAATACACCGATTAGCGCTGCAGACGATTTTCCAATAGAATGGCCATGGATAGATCAAAACTTGACTGCTCTCTTTGGATCCGGCTGAAGTCTGATCTATCTATAGCCAGCTTTAGTCAGCCTGATAGACTACTACTGACTACTTTCAGTTACATAATGCAAGTTTGCATTATGGTTTTCGAAGGGCTGTATCTTGGAAGGGAGAACATGGATTAACACATTACACATACCTCCAGTACAGCCTCCATCTCATAATCAACCTAGGCATCTTTATAAAAATGAATAATACTGTCAAACGTCTGAACGTTAGCATACGTAGTACTGGCTTAAAGCAGAACTCCGGTTAAAAATGTTATTTTCCTATGCAGTGAGCTCATTTTGTTTAGGGGCTCAGGGTAAAGCTATACTTACCCATTCCGCTGATCCTCCAAAAAACCATGCTCCCCTAATGTCCAGCGGCGGACTGTTCCTGTCGTCCTCACATTTGGAGCTTGTCTATGGGTGGGATGATGTCAGGAACAGCTCATTCACTGGCGTGCGGGGGGGGGTAGGAGCGATAGGGACCGGTCATGCGCTCGGAGGATTAGGCAAGTATATCTGTACTTTCTCAGCCCCTAGACAAAAAGGAACATTTAACCCATGCAGTGCAGGCACAGTCCCAATGCACAGGAAAATAAAAAAAATTGCTCAGATTTCTTCCTTAAAGAACCACCCAATTGCTCAGACTTGTATACATAGTCATAGAAATAAAACCTATTCCCCATTACAAAATGTGCAACGCATTGCAGAGCAGGGTGGAGACGTCATGACACCAAGAAACTGACCTTTCTTATTCATGCAGAAATGACTATGCATCATAACACAGTTTCTTTCTGTGCAGACTTCCAGGTCTCCCTGCCGCACTGCATTAACTAGATTAACATTCAGATGATTAAATATTTCTCAATGATTTGGCCTCCAGCCAGACTGTAAATAGATATTCTGCAGATAAGGAAAGATTTAATGGCTGCAACTCCTCATTCATCAGCACTAAGTGGATGGCTCCGAGGAACTTCTTGTTCAGATTGTGCGCCTTTCATAGAGTTATAGTGCCTTGGCAGCAGATTTCTGTGTACAATGAAAACAAGGACAAGTACAAGAACAGAGCTTGTACTGTCAAGGTTACCAAAAGGGGTATGATGAAGAAACAAGGACAAGCAGAAAAAACTGGAAGAAAAGGAATAATTCAAATGTGCAATGTGAGGAATCTGTCTGCATGCCATACGTGCTACAATAGATGGGATGCAGCAAAACATAATAAAAGGAGGGGGTTAAAGATACAATCCTGTTAAATATGTATCTTCGGGACCCATACAGAAGATACCACCTGCTAGGCTGCCATGTTTTACCTGGGCAAGAATTGTGTACGCAAGCAACCCTACTCTGCCAGGACATTTATTCACTGATAATTTAGTGTTCTGGAACCCAATACTCCTAAAACTTTATTATGCAAACCAGGCAGCCACATACACACCTATCTGAGGTACCCCAAGAAACCTGACTGTGTCATTGTTTAACACAGCATAGCGTAAGCCTTTAAAAAAAAAAAAAAAAAAACAGCGCCTGTGCCATGGTGTTGGAGTAATTAAAGTAGTTATAAACCTCAGACATGAAATATGAGCAAAGCATATCCCTCTATAGTGTGCACTTGTCTCAATACAGAGCACTAAGTAATTTATTTCTGCTGCTTCGTTCCTCGGCTATCAGCAGGAGTCACTTCTGACAAGATTTCCTGACACCAAGAGAAAAATGGTAACAGGGGATGGACCTCCTGCAGATTGACAGCCTCAGCTCTGTTCCTGTGAGCTCTGTGATATAAAGGGGGGGGGGGGGTCCTTCATCCAATCAGCATTCATAGCTCTCCTTATTGAGCTCTGCAGAGTGTAATTTCAGCTCTCAGCCCCCTTTTTTCTGAACTCTCAGACAAGCTTTAAAAAATTCAGTACTTTGAACAGCTGTAGAGAAGAGAAGACTAGAGATAAATACAGTCAGGTCCATAAATATTGGGACATCGACACAATTCTAACATTTTTTGGCTCTATACACCACCACAATGGATTTGAAATGAATTGAACAAGATGTGCTTTAACTGCAGACTGTCAGCTTGAATTGGAGGGTTTTTACATCCAAATCAGGTGAACGGTGTAGGAATTACAACAGTTTGAATATGTGCCTCCCACTTGTTAAGGGACTAAAAGTAATGGGACAATTGGCTTCTCAGCTGTTCCATGGCCAGGTGTGTGTTATTTCCTCATTATCCCAATTACAACGAGCAGATAAAAGGTCCACAGTTCATTTCAAGTGTGCTATTTGCATTTGGAATCTGTTGCTGTCAGCTCTCAAGATGAGATCCAAAGAGCTGTCACTATCAGTGAAGCAAGCCATCATTAGGCTGAAAAAACAAAACAAACCCATCAGAGAGATAGCAAAAACATTAGGCGTGGCCAAAACAACTGTTTGGAACATTCTTAAAAAGAAGGAACGTATCGGTGAGCTCAGCAACACCAAAAGACCCGGAAGACCATGGAAAACAACTGTTGTGGATGACCGAAGAATTCTTTCCCTGGTGAAGAAAACACCCTTCACAACAGTTGGCCAGATCAAGAACACTCTCCAGGAGGTAGGTGTATGTGTGTCAAAGTCAACAATCAAGAGAAGACTTCACCAGAGTGAATACAGAGGGTTCACCACAAGATGTAAACCATTGGTGAGCCTCAAAAACAGGAAGGCCAGATTAGAGTTTGCCAAACGACATCTAAAAAAGCCTTCACAGTTCTGGAACAACATCCTATGGACAGATGAGACCAAGATCAACTTGTACCAGAGTGATGGGAAGAGAAGAGTATGGAGAAGGAAAGGAACTGCTCATGATCCTAAGCATACCACCTCATCAGTGAAGCATGGTGGTGGTAGTGTCATGGCGTGGGAATGTATGGCTGCCAATGGAACTGGTTCTCTTGTATTTATTCATGATGTGACTGCTGACAAAAGCAGCAGGATGAATTCTGAAGTGTTTCAGGCAATATTATCTGCTCATATTCAGTCAAATGCTTCAGAACTCATTGGACACCGCTTCACAGTGCAGATGGACAATGACCAAAAGCAGACTGCAAAAGCAACCAAAGAGTTTAAGGGAAAGAAGTGGAATGTTATGCAATGACCAAGTCAATCACCTGACCTGAATCCGACTGAGCATGCATTTCACTTGCTGAAGACAAAACTGAAGGGAAAATGCCCCAAGAACAAGCAGGAACTGAAGACAGTTGCAGTAGAGGTCTGGCAGAGCATCGCCAGGGATGAAACCCAGCATCTGGGGATGTCTATGCATTCCAGACTTCAGGCTGTAATTGACTGCAAAGGATTTGCAACCAAGTATTAAAAAGTGAAAGTTTGATTTATGATTAATATTCTGTCCCATTACTTTTGGTCCCTTAACAAGTGGGAGGCACAACATGCAAACTGTTGTAATTCCTACACCGTTCACCTGATTTGGATGTAAATACCCTCAAATTAAAGCTGACAGTCTGCAATTAAAGCACATCTTGTTCATTTCATTTCAAATCCATTGTGGTGGTGTATAGAGCCAAAAATGTTAGAATTGCGTCAATGTCCCAGTATTTATGGACCTGACTGTAGGTACAACTTATGTAGGAGGATTTGTATCACCTGAGGATAGTCACCTCACTTGGTATATGTAAGGGTTTACAACCACTTTACCACATACAGTAAACTAGGGCAGACTAAGCCCCCACTAACATATCACTTTGAGGGGCTTTAACATGCATGACCAGTGCAAAGATGTCCATAGACAACAGATGACAGTATTCCAAATTAGACCTTTTTGGGCTAGTTAAAGACCTAAGTCTATAACCTACCTGCTGATACTACTGTCAGAAGTTTTATCTAGGGGAATAGAAAATAGACTGGTTACTAGGGACCAGGGGCAGACTGACCATTTGGAAACTCGGGCACTGCCCGAGGGCCCGGGGTCAGTAGGGGGCCCCATGAGATGCCCCTGGTACCTTTTTCATAGGCTTTTTTGACTTTGGGCACGGACACAGGGGCCCCATGATCTCCTATTGCCTGGGGGCCCCATGAGTTGTCAGTCCGCCCCTGGTAGGGGACCGTTGCAGGGAGGTTTCCCACACTGCTCCTGTGTGAACTCAGGCTATGACAAGGCTATGGGGAAACCACATGCAATTTAGCAGAAATCGCATTCCTGTTAAAATTGCATGCTATTCTTTGCAGTGCAAATTGCATTTTGTTTTTACGCAAATCGTACAGCAGTGTATCGATTTCTGGTATCAGAAGCATTTTCGCGAGCATTTGTGAAAATTCTCGGTATCGGCACCAATATCAGTGCATCCCTACTGGTTAGTCAACCTCTTCCATTTGTTGCGGTTTCCCTCCTAGCAGGTTTACACTATCTGCAATATGTCCTCCCAGCCAAGGCCCCTTTCACACAAACCATGCCTGTTCTGGTCAGCAGAAGATCCATGAGCAAATTCCCTGCTGAATCGGAGCCGAATGGTACAGATGTACCTTTTGTCACATCCACACACTTTCAGTTTTTTCCTGCTGGAGTTTAACCGCTTGCCAGCTGCCCTATGGTAAAAATACTACTACAGGGCGGCAGGGCCGCGCAAAATCACGTATATATAAACATGATTTGCATTTTCGGGTAGGGGGCACGAGCATGCACCACCCTACCTGCACCACCACTGCCGACTAGGGATGTCAATCACCAAGTCCCAGCTGAAGATTCCCCAGCGGCACCCGGTGATCGCCATGCAGAACTGACAAGGGAGAGACTTCTGTGCAAGGACATGCTGCTTTGTATTTCTCTGCATAGCAAAGAAATACAAAGCAGAATGTCTCTGTAGTAAAACAGCACACACAGTAAAAACACACACAGCACACAGTTAACCCTCTGATCGCTCAAAAGTTAACACCTTCCTGCTTAGTGTCATTAGTACAGTGTCAGTGCTTTTTATTAGCACTGATCACTGTATTAGTGTCACTGGGGATGTCAGCGGCAGTTAGTCAGTTCCCACCCAATGTCAGAATGCCAGCCGCAGTCCTCCAATCCCGCTACAAGTTGCTGATCACCACCATTACTAGTATAAAAACAAAATTCCATACTGCCATTTGTAGACGCTATAACTTTCACGTAAACCAATTAATTTACACATATTAGAATTTTTTTTTTAGGAAAGACATGCAGCAGAATACATTTTGGCTTAAATTTATGCCGAAATTTGATTTTTTTATTGGATATGTTTTATAGCAAAAAGTTAAATATATTGGGTTTTTTGTTTATAGTGCAAAAAATAAAAACCGCAGAGGTGATCAAATGCCACCAAAAGAAAGCTCTATTTGTGGGAAAAAAGGACATAAATTTCATTTAAGTACAGCGTTGCATGACCGTGCAAATGTCAGTTAACGTAGCGCAGCGCCGTATCGCAAAAAATGGCCTGGTCAGGAAGGGGGGTAAATCCTCTGGAAGGCAAGTGGTTAAAGTGGTTGTAAAGGTAAAAGATTTTTTTTTTTTAATTAATTATCTGCCATAAGGTTAATAAAAAACAAAAAACAAACATTGAATAGTAGCTTCCCCTAAATACATAATTGAGCCTCATCTTGCTCTAGCACTGTGCACACCTGCAGCAGTTTCCTCTTGCCTCTCCCAGTTTTTACAAGCTTGACTGAGAACAGCGGAAGTCATTGGCTACTATAGTGAATTTCTGCTTCTGCAGGGATTGGCCAGGTATGGAAAGTGAATTATGCAAAACTAAAATTAAACTATGCAAAAAAAAAAAAAAAAAAAAAAAAATCATACCTGTTGTTCAGCTTTTAAGTAAACAAATCTTAGTGATCCACATGACATGAATGTCACAGAATTCCCAAAAATGCTTCCATTTTTTGGTAAAGAAAAGAATCCTTTCTTACCTGTGTCAGGAGCCATGGGTGGTCTTGTGCCAGCCGGTCCCAATCAGTGTCATACGTCACTTGAGCATACTTGAACCGGTTCTGAATGGCAGCTGTAGTACATATGTACTTATACAGAAATTCTTTCCCGGTCTGCTCTGAAATGGCTTTGGCTGACATGGTGCTGCCAGATTACGAAGGATATCTGGACACAGAAGAAAGAGAATCCACGTAAATAATACAAAAGACATAAATACAGGAGATATATATTCTGGTTTACACTCTGAATACTCCATTCAGATGGCTGTACGTTTCTTAATTAAAGCAACTCTATGACTTCAAGCTCTACTGCTACAACTGAATGCCAGGTGGTCAACCCATCATAGCGATGGAATCTTTCTGATATAGGAGCATTGAACCTTATGGAGATGCATTAGAACATTGTGGTTGGTTTGTGGTCCTAGAGGGTGCTCACCAGCAACTGTGGGGTCCTTCTGAACCCCCAAAAGGAGTTTACTAAGGTTCTGAAAGGATGGGAGCATCACAGCAGCTTGTGTAAGATTTTATTTTGTACCAGCCAACGCATTTCAGGGGCTCAACTGAGTGCTGAGCCACCGAAATGTATTGGATTTTGTAATTAAAATCTTTCAAAGAACTATACAAGGTGGTGTGGTGCTCCCTTCCCATCAGAGATGGGAGGAAGTAGGGAGTGGACACTACCAGAAACGCTGGACCTTTACCTGATCAGAACAGCCCTGGACCCTGGTGTAATGGCAGGGCTCAGAGGAGCTGCAGGTACATGTAGCAGCACTTGTTTTCCACAAACAGATTTGCTTTAATATTCTCTTTACCAATCATGAGAGAAACATGGAGGGTGCCAATGTTGATCTCTCCTTAAAATGCTAGTTAACTGGCTGTCATGCTGAACCTCTTTCTTCAATAATTCAAGTCACTGGCCCATAACAAGTATGTAGAGAAGGACTTCTGATATTAATCCAGCTTTCTTGAATAATATGCTAGTTCCAGGTCAATACTTTATCTCTGCAGTAAAAGGAGGATTGCTTTCTGCATCACATGAACAGATGAAAGAGCGATCAGTTTCCAAAACACTGCATCCAATTAGGGAATGAACGGTTTTTCCCTCAGCACTTGTGACTGAGGCCCCTTTCCATTAATTCCAATTCACAGCTGGTGCAGCACCCCAGGATATTGACACAGAACTTCATGTCAGGTCACTATCTAAATCAAATGGTATAATCATCAGCCTCAAATTGAATAGTGAATATATATAGTTGCAGTATTTACACCAGTTAGCCATAACCTAATGATCACCCACCTAATACTGAGTAGCCCCGCCTTTTGTCACCAAAACAACCCCTTCTGCCGACAAACAGCCCTGACTCATCAACTCATGGATACCACTAGACCTCTATAGGTATGCTCTGGGAGCTGGCACCAAGCCATCAGTAGCAGATCCTTTAAGTCCTGAAAGTTACAAGGTGGGCCCTCCAAGGATTGGACTTGTTTTTTTTCCAGATTGAGATATGGAGAATTTGGAAGCCAAGTCAATACCTTGAACTCGTTTTCTTCATCAAACCATTCTTGCACCATTTTTGCAGTGTGCCAAGGTGTATTATCTTGCTGAAAGAGGCCACTGCCATCAGAGAATACCATTCCATGAAGAGGTGTACTTGGTCAGCAACAAAAGTTTCGGTAGGTGGTACATGTCAAGTAATATCCACATGAAAGGCAGGATCCAAGGTTCCCAAGCAGAACATTGCCCAAAGCATCACACTGCCTCTCCGGGCTTGCCTTCTTCCTATACTGCATCCTGGTGCTGACTGTTCTTGTGAGGCACACAGTTGGCCATCCACATGATTTAAAAAAACAAAAAAAACAAAACCAAAACCAAACACACAATTCATCAGACCAGGCCACCTTCTTCCATTATCTCGTAGTCCAGTTCTAATGTTCATGTGCCCATTGTAGGCACTTTTGGCTGTGAACACGGATCAGAATGGGCACCCTAACTGGTCCGCAGCCTCACAGCCCCATTCACAACAAACAGCGATGCCCATTTTTTTCCTGCTTTCAACACATCAACTTCAAGGAAAACACTGTAGGTTTACTTGCTGCCTATCATATCCCGGCCACATTCAGAAGCCATTGTAACGAGATAATCAATATATAGAGTCAGGTCCATAAATATTGGGACATCGACACAATTCTAACATTTTTGGCTCTATACACCACCACAATGGATTTGAAATGAAATGAACAAGATGTGCTTTAACTGCAGACTGTCAGCTTTATTTGAGGGTATTTACATCCAAATCAGGTGAACGGAGTAGGAATTACAACAGTTTGCATATGTGCCTCCCACTTGTTAAGGGACCAAAAGTAATGGGACAGAATAATAATCATAAATCAAACTTTCACTTTTTATTACTTGGTTGCAAATCCTATGCAGTCAATTACAGCCTGAAGTCTGGAATGCATAGACATCACCAGACGCCGGGTTTCATCCCTGGTGATGCTCTGCCAGGCCTCTACTGCAACTGTCTTCAGTTCCTGCTTGTTCTTGGGGCATTTTCCCTTCAGTTTTGTCTTCAGCAAGTCAAATGCATGCTCAATCGGATTCAGGTCAAGTGATTGACTTGGCCATTGCATAACATTCCACTTCTTTCCCTTAAAAAACTCTTTGGTTGCTTTTGCAGTCTGCTTTGGGTCATTGTCCATCTGCACTGTGAAGCGGTGTCCAATGAGTTCTGAAGCATTTGGCTCAATATGAGCAGATAATATTGCCCGAAACACTTCAGAATTCATCCTGCTGCTTTTGTCAGCAGTCACATCATCAATAAATACAAGAGAACCAGTTCCATTGGCAGCCATACATGCCCACGCCATGACACTACCACCACCATGCTTCACTGATGAGGTGGTATGCTTAGGATTATGAGCAGTTCCTTTCCTTCTCCATACTCTTCTCTTCCCATCACTCTGGTACAAGTTAATCTTGGTCTCATCTGTCCATAGGATGTTGTTCCAGAACTGTGAAGGCTTTTTTAGATGTCGTTTGGCAAACTCTAATCTGGCCTTCCTGTTTTTGAGGCTCACCAATGGTTTACATCTTGTGGCGAACCCACTGTATTCACTCTGGTGAAGTCTTCTCTTGATTGTTGACTTTGACACACATACACCTACCTCCTGGAGAGTGTTCTTAATCTGGCCAACTGTTGTAAAGGGTGTTTGCTTTACCAGGGAAAGAATTCTTCGGTCATCCACCACAGTTGTTTTCCGTGGTCTTCCGGGTCTTTTGGTGTTGCTGAGCTCACCGGTACGTTCCTTCTTTTTAAGAATGTTCCAAACAGGTGTTTTGGCCACGCCTAATGTTTTTGCTATCTCTCTGATGGGTTTGTTTTGTTTTTTTTCAGCCTAATGATGGCTTGCTTCAGTGATAGTGACAGCTCTTTGGATCTCATCTTGAGAGTTGACAGCAACAGATTCCAAATGCAAATAGCACACTTGAAATGAACTCTGGGCCTTTTATCTGTTCATTGTAATTGGGATAATGAGGGAATAACACACACCTGGCCATGGAACAGCTGAGAAGCCAATTGTCCCATTACTTTTGGTCCCTTAACAAGTGGGAGGCACATATGCAAACTGTTGTAATTCCTACACCGTTCACCTGATTTGGATGTAAATACCCTCAAATTAAGCTGACAGTCTGCAGTTTAAGCACATCTTGTTCGTTTCATTTCAAATCCATTGTGGTGGTGTATGGAGCCAAAAATGTTAGAATTGTGTCGATGTCCCAATATTTATGGACCTGACTGTATATATATATTATACACACACACCACACTATATAGCGCAAACATATTCTGGCAAACGATGATCCTTAAGCAAACTGTATGAGATATATTGCTTTCGGCAGTTATACACACAGCTCTCCAATTTACTTTTTCTTCTTTGACATTTGGGAATGGAGTATGAACAATAGTGGATGAGACCTCATCTCTATTATGTAATTATAATACTGCTATACCACAGGACATATTTTAAAAGCAAGACTTCTGTCTAATGTATGAAAGAACATGGCATGTCTAAGGCGTGCACTAACTTCCTAACAAGCAGAACACCCAGGGGCTGAAATAAGACATTCAAGCAAAGAGAAAATGGAGATGTTCGCTTAGTACCCTCACCCCAATTTGGATTGTGAAAGTAACATTGAAGCACTCTGAGTAAACCCATATAAAACATGCAATTATTTTTTCTTTATTTTTTAATATTTTTTTAACAAAAATATTTTTTTATAAATTAAAATATTTTTTTAAAAATTTTTTATGTAATTATAAATAAAATTATTTTTTAATTAATCAATTTTTTATTTTATATATTTTTTATATAATTTTTTTTTTAAATTTTTAAATTTTATAACTAACTAAAAATTAATATTTATTAAAAATTTTTTATTTTTAAAAATTTAAAAAAAATAAATTCAATAAATTATAAATTTAAAAATTATTTTAATAAATATTATAATATTAAATTTTTATATTTTATAAAAAAAAAAAAAATTTTAAAATTAAAAATTATTTTTTTTTTTTTTTTTTAAAATATTAATTATTAAAAATTAATTTAAAAAATTTTTTTTATTTATATTATTTTTAATTTAAAAATTTTATTTTTTTTTTTTAAAAAATAAATAAAAAAAAAAAAAAATTTTTATTTTTTTTTTTTTTTTTTAAAAAATTTTAAAAAAATTAAAAATTATATTAATAATTATTTAAATAAAATTAATTATTTAAAAAATAAAATTTATTATTTATTTAATTTTTTTTAATTTTAAAAAATCAAATAAATTAAATTTTTAATAATTTAATTTAACCAAAAATATTCTTTATTAAAATTTTTTATATTTAAAAAATTAAAATTTATTTATAAAATTTATTTTTTTAAATAATTTATATTATCTTTTATTAAATTTTTAAAAAAAAATTTTAAAATTCTATTTCATATTTTAAATTTATTTTTTCATTTTTTTTTTTCAAAAAAAAAAATGGAACTAAGAAAAGTAAAACCTAGCAAAAATAAGGGGGATAGAAAAAGTTGCAATAAAACCCCCAAAAAGAAAAATCAAAAATAGAATTAAAAAAAAGGCAAGTAAAAGATAG